AGCAGTAAGGCTGAATGCAATCGGGAGGTACTTCCTAAGAAGGCTGGACGCAGGTTTCCTTTCTTAAAAACGTGAATCAGCCACATTTTAAAATGTACTGGCATTAATTACTTTATATACTGCCACAGCACTACAACCTGTGTAAACCTGTCCAAGTTCCTATGGTGGAGACTATCGCTTCCCAGAGGTTTATTGACTTTTTAAACTACATAAAATTTCATAACCCCAATGTAGCACTAAATACACTTCATGAAAAATAACTGAAACCGTTTATTTTTCTAAATGTGTGGACTCATACATTTACATCACAAGCTTAGGGCAGAGGATGCCAAGTACCAACCGCAAGTGACTGTCTCGCTCATTACAAATAAGACCTGCGTGGCCTTAGCCCTGAAGAAGGCTCACACCCAGCACGCTGCTGGCCTGGGCCCCTTTCCCGTAGGCTGCCCTGGCTTGCCTTGGCTGCTTTTTCCACCCCGACTTCAAGATGCTTTGTTCTATAACAGCCTATGTTTGACGCTCAAATTTTGTATTTTCCTTATATGTATATAAATTTTTGTTATATGAAGCAAACCACAAGACTAATAAAGAGGATAGAAGGAAAAAAATATTAAAAAATGTTCCTTTAATATGCTATAAGTATGTAGCTTATACTCAGCTCGAGTGTGAAATAACAGGGTGTAGAGCCACAGGTAATTAAACCCATGTTCTGCTTCTGGCTCCCTCTCTCTGCTGCTGGGCGGCCCCGTGAGGGTCATCAGGCCTCCCCCGTCCCCTTGGTGCCCTGGAGGCTTCTCCTCCCTACCTCCGGGAGGCAAGCTCAGGACAAATGAGGTAAGAATCTGGCAAGCATCTGATTCCTTTGGAACCCAAATCATAATTTCATGAGATCGCTTTATCAGCACAATAGCATTGAGATGAGCAGGAATCAGTGTTGAACTTACATCTGAGACAGAGAGATGGCCTGTTTCAAAACCGACATTTCAAGGAAAGAAAGGTCCTCGTGGGGACCCATGGTCTGCATCAGTTAATGGTGTCCCCTGGAAAGTGGGGGTCTCCGGGCCCTCCTTCACAGACTCAAAACCTTTTGCGCCTCGTCTGAGAGTCACTACAGCTCTGGGCAGATAACTTTTCCTCAAGAATTCTCCAAGAGGCCAAGTCAAAAACATCCCCCCACCCAGTTTCTGAAAGGGAACCAAACTCCATGATAACAACTAACTCATAACAGACATCGTAAATGAGGTCCAAGAGGCAGAATATGGTTAAGTAACTGTGCTTGCCAGATCTATCTGCCTCTGTCAGCAGAGGCTGTTTAAACTTGAAATATGGAGGGCGGGAAGAACCTTGAGACATACAAAAAGTTAACTGTCTCAGAGATAAGAGGAGGGTTTTCTGGCTAAGCCCAGTTCAGTGCAACAGTGCATTTTACAAACTGACTCAGAAAAGGAGGCTGTTTCCTAAATGTATCCTCCTGAGTCATCAACTGACCCTGAAATGTTCTATCAGAGAAGTACAGACAGAGAGATGGCTGCAAGAAGAAAGCAGAGAACACGTATGTGCAGGCCCGTGTGTGTGTGTGTGGTCGCAGACACGGGCCGTGCCCTGTATGAGGCTCCAGGGGTATGGCCCCTCCAAACCCCACGCATCCACACGGCTCGTTCTCCTGAATGCAGAGGCCAGAGCGAAAGGAGACAGACTCCTGCAGTCCCACGGCCTCAGGAGGCCATGTCAGCCCTCTGGCGTACTTCTGAGCCTACTGGAGACCTGTGGCCTCAACGAGGGGCGTTAACACACGCCACCGCCGCTGCAGTCAACAGCTTTGGCGTGTCACTACCCATGCTTCAGAGTCATGAGGACGTTCGGCTGAGAATGAGGCCACTGTCTCCGCGGCCCCAGGGCCATAGGCTGCAGAACTGGCCCTGGGGGCGGGTGGGGGTTCGGAAGGAAGTTCAGAGATCGGGTATGAGAGGAGGTAACTGGTGAATTACCTTCAGGGATAAGACACTTACAAGGCGGCTCTTTAATAATTCTAATACCCCAGTAGATCCCCAGTGTAAAATGACTAATCTCTGCAAACCCATGCTTCTGTGAGTGTTTGATTCCTTCTCTCTCATAAGGCACTAGAACTTGCTGCCTTAAAAGCAACACTTCCTAGGACAATGTCTTATTTTTCTACAGGAGCTGTGCAGGCTCGATTCTGAGTTCCTAGAGGCCTATTCCAAGCAGAACGGGTGAACTTTTCCCAACTCCAGGACGGAGCTTTATTTCTGAGGTAAACCTCCTGTGGACGCCTGTCAACTGCAGGTCAGGGGATGGGGCGCCTGGGGCCCCCGGTTCTGTGGGGGGGCCAGAGGCACGGCCTGGCACCGGGCGCTGCACCTCAGAGTCAGGGGCTGGAGAACCAGGAGCCCCCCTTACCAGATGCAGGGGTTACTTCCCAACTCTCACCACCACCCATCTGCACAGAAACCGCCAGAGAGAAACAAAGTTACCTTTCTTCTGGAACCAATCCCCTGAAAAGCCCTGAACATCCTTTCCAAAAGGCCAAACTTTTTACAGGTGTGTTTCTCTGGCAATTTCACTCAAATAACTTATTTTTAGAAGAGACTTTACATACACAGGTATGTATGTATAGCTAGCACCTTGTTTTTATAGGATCTTAGTTCCCAGCCCAGGGATTGAACCCACGCCCTCAGCAGGGAAAGTGCTGCGTCCTCGACACCAGGCTGCTAGGGAATTCCCTAAAAAAGTACACTTTTAAACTCAGATAGACCCAGACCAGATCCATGAGAGAATATCCGGGAAGACTGAGTTTGGGGCCTGGTGGGCCCCCAGCGGGGGTGTGATGCTCAGCCTCAGGTGGGGGTCTGTGAGTGGGTCTGGATGAAGGCGGCTGGTCCCCTCGGTATGAGCCACGGTTATTTCAGACTTTTCCTTCAGGTGGAAGTCTTGTGCAACTGTTTAGATAACCCAACTACCTCAATTAGTACTTTTTTTTAAAAGAAAATACTCGGGATTACTCTAAAGAAAAATGTCCAAGTTCAATTTATTTTCTTAACTGCAAGACTACGGGTGGGGCTGCAGAGAGAGGCTATTAGGCACCGAATGCCTGAATAGCTCATTTATCTTATTCCTTGTTATTACTACTGGCGAGAAATACTTCCTGAATGTAATACACTGAGCTCGGAACAAAATCAAATGAGACACTGTTTTTTTTTTGTTGTTGTTCTCCAATCCTGGTACTCGAAGCAAGTCTAAGTTCTGGGACTTATTACTTAGTGAAGTCAAAAAGGAGGCTGGGAAAGAGCTAATTACTCAAATTAGAAGGATTCTGAAAAATGAAAGCGGCAAGGAAAACAACATTTTTAAACCTACTTACTTCTGTCCTGGAAACAACAGTCAATTCCGTGAATTCTTCTGCAAAGCTGAGTGAGAAAAAAGCCATCTCTGGGCCCTGAGACCAGCTGTGGGAAGCAGCCCCAGTGCCGGGCTCTCTCCTTTGACAGCAGTCGTTCCCGAGAGATGGGAGGTTGGGGCGGTGAGTGGGCTGTCGCTGAGCACACACAGACCCTAGATCCTGGGACTCGTGTGGGGAAGTCCAGAGTCAAACACTAAGAAACTACCCAGGAATCCTGAACTGATGGCAAGTTCAGTGAAACCCTTGAGTTAAAAGAGTGAGAGTCGCTCAGCTGTGTCTGACTCTTTGCGACCCCATGGTCTATACGATCCATGGAATTCTCCAGGCCAGAATACTGGAGTGGGTAGCCTCTCCCTTCTCCAGGGGATCTTCCCAACCCAGGGATCGAACCCAGGTCTCCCGCATTGCAGGCAGATTCTTTACCAGTTTAGCCACCAGGGAAGCCCAAGAATGCTGGAGTGGGTAGCCTATCCCTTCTCCAGATTTTCCTGATCCAGGAATTGAACCGGGGTCTCCTGCATTGCGGGAGGATTCTTTTCCAACTGAGCTATGAGCAAAGCCCAGTGAAACCCCTGCTGCTGCTGCTACGTCGCTTCAGTCATGTCCGACTCTGTGAGACCCCGTAGACAGCAGCCCACCAGGCATCCCCGTCCCTGGGATTCTCCGGACAAGAACACTGGAGTGGGTTGCCATTTCCTTCTCCAATGCGTGAAAGTGAAAAGTGAAAGTGAAGTTGCTCAGTTGTGTCAGACTCTTCGAGACCCCATGGACTGCAGTCCACCAGGCTCCTCCGTCCATGGGATTTTCCAGGCAGGAGTACTGGAGTGGGGTGCCACTGCCTACTCTGAATGAAACCCCTACTTGCTGTTAAATAATTTGTTTCAAGAACCTGGTCTGGTCCTCTAGAAAGTGAACCGGGCAGGTGTTCCTCTCGGTAGGGACAGAGGACCCTGGGGACATCAGTGTCCTCCACTGGCTTTTACAGGGTCCTCTAATCACCTGTGTATCACGTAAGCTCTGGCGTCCAACTTCTTCTATCGGCTTGTTTTGTAGGTTTATTGATTTTTATCAAGACAGGATCACGGGACTCTCTAGGCCACTGCTGTAGAAGGTGAAATCCGGACTTCTCTGATGCACATCAGATCCCCGCTCCTGGTGGTCAGCACAGGTGCAGGACCAGCCTGGGGCCTCCTGGTGGTCAGTGCATGGCGACTCAAGGCCTCCCCCACCCCCTGCAGATCCCACTGCTGCTGCTTCAGTCAGAGCAGCCCCGCTTTTATGCACCAGGGCTCTGTGTAAGATTTAATTTCAGACAATAGGGTCTTCTGCTTAATATAAAATAAAAAAGCGTAAACACACGACCTAAGGACACTCGCACAGAAAACCACACAACGGCACTGGAGAGGACGAGTGATTTTTTTTCTGAATCCTCAGGGTTCAAGTCCTCTCATCCTGACACTCCGTCTTTGCTCCTGGCACCCCTCGTAACCCATGGTAACTGTCTGAAACGCTGATGACAGACTGTCCGTCACAGAGACTGGCTTCATGCACCTCCCCCAAGAAAGGGCTGGCTCCTGCTCACCTTGTCGCTGTCCAGAGTGTTCTGAGACGTCCGGGAGGCGATTGAAATCGTATCGGGCTGGCTGCTGCCGTCTCCTTGGCTGTCCAAATCCTCTCCATCCCTGGAGACACAAAGATGCAGATTCCTGACACTGCTGGGTCTGCGCCTCAAGACTGGTGAAGAGTGTCCATCAGACAGTGGACGGAGAACAGATTTGTTCAAAGAAGTGGGAATCGGTCTGTATGGTTGCGGCTGGTATTAACATTGATGATGGCCAATCACTCTTCAGTGAGGACAGGCTTTGTGTTGGACCCTGGGCTGCGTGTCTACCATCTACCACCGCACTTAGTTCTCCCAGGGATCAAACACAGTTGAAATGGTCAGTGCCATTTTAGAGACAAGAAGCAAACACGTGTAGATGCTACACGACTTGTCCAAGGTCACAGACGCTATTCACACATGCACATGGATTAACAGTTGGTTGGAAAAGGAAGAAAATTAGGGATGTGCATGTAGACTTTCATTGGCTTTAAGGTGAAGGAGGCTGTCTTGATAAAGCAATTTCATTAGGAAGAATGATACTATGTATGAAGTGGATTTAAAAAGAACATTCCTCAAAATGTTTGAGAAAAATGATTTTTAAAAACTAGTTAACACTGCCTTATTCCTGCCCTTAAATAAATACCAACTTGGAAAAACGTCCCCAGACACTGACCTCCTTCCCTTCTGTCTCGTAGCTGGAGCCGTTTTTGGGATGTGGATGGGCTCCTTCAGGGCGCCTTTCAGGTGGATGGTCCTTTCCTGGATCACCTCCCGGATATGCTTGATCCAGTCCTGCTTGTTCTCGATACTGGAGGCCTGGAGAGAGGGTAAGAACTGGTCAGGGTATTGCACTGACTGCATTCAGGTCCCCGCATTCCGTGAGTTGTTTATTTAAAACTTAACTTTTCAGCAGAAAAGCAACCACATCCTGTATTTAACATGCCACCCAATAAATGACCCTAATTTTGAATATTCTGTCATCTGGACCGTTTTCATTCTGTGTAGTGTTGATGGTATTCTGGATCTCTGAATAGTCTAGCAATTGATCACTTCCCAGCTCCAAGACTTTTTAAGCAGCCTTGGGTAAATTCTAGGAAAACAGAGCTGCCCCCAAACCCAACTGTCCTGAGATCCTTTAGGCAGATAAGTGGCCCGTGGTCCTTGGAGCACCGGGAGCAACCTGAACCAGCGCCCTCCCGTCCCACCCACCTCGCCCCTTGGACTCATGATCAACAGGCGCAGCTGCACCGATTCTCCACTTGCACCCGTTCCCCACCCCCACTCGCACCCTAGGAGTCGGGCCTCCCTAATCCTCCTGCCTAAAGGAGGACCCATAGCCTGGACATGTTAGAAATGTACCCAAGGTCACACTGCCAGTAGGTGAAGAGGCCAGCATTCCTGGGGGTGGACATCCACTCACACACACACCCATCCCCTCAAACTCTGCCTGAATCCACCATGTGTTAGGCTGCTGGGATAAACCAGGGCAGCCTACTGTAGCCAGTTACATATGGTGGACTTCCCTCAACTCCACTGCATCGCTGGACAAAGGTTCTCTGGAAAGGACACATCACAGACACTCAACAGGCACTGACTGAATGAACACATATGGCATCACAGTTTCCAGATTTTTCTTTCAAGGTGCCTCAAAGGAGGTAGGCTTTTTTTTTCTTTCCCCCTCCCTTTTTACATGACCTGGACCTTAGCAACAGTTTTTAATTTCCTTACGGAAAACATCCACCTCCTATGATATAAGCATAATTCCCTGCAAATGATTACAACAATCGTCAGTGGGATTATGCATGAGATCAGGCAGGGAGGGGAACCCAAGCATTTTCTCATGGTGGACCTTGTTTTTGTCAAGGCCCATGCTGGGAAAGGAAATTAAGACTGAGAACTCTCTTTCTAAATATATTTTAACTGGAGGATGTGTCTTCTCAGTTGAGGGAAAATTGAGGGAAATAAATGAAGGACAGAAGGAGCCTCTTGCTTCTCTTCCCAGATCGGATGTCAGGAGAGCAGTAAAACCCACCTCTCCTGGGGAGGGAGGCAGAAAGATTAGGCAGCTGGGGAGTCTGTGCATGAAGTAAGTGTCTCAGGATGGAAACTGTGAACGACATGGAACTGTTGGAATTTACATGCCTGATACAGATGTTTGGGAGGTTAAACGAAGGGAAGTGACTGAGAGAGAACATCTGGCAGGGTTTCAACAACAGAGGAGATCCATACCATGGTTCAGCAATAAAGAAGATCCCAATCATTTAAATAAAGCAAACCTAGCATTACATTTATGGAGAGCAATTCTCCTAAACTTGAAGAAATTAAACGCGGAAAAAAGGTACCAATTTTTCAGAAACAGTAAAAGAAAGATAACGCAGCTGAAGGACTAAATAAACCAGTCAATCGTACAGGAAATCAACCCTGAATATTCACTGGAAGGACTGATGCTGAAACTGAAGCTTCAATACGTGGGCCACCTGATGGGAAGAGCCAACTCACTGGAAAAGACCCTCATGCTGGGAAAGATTGAAGGCAGGAGGAGAAGGGGGCAACAGAGGATGAGACGGCTGGATGGTATCACTGACTCAAGTGGCCTCGGGCCACTTGTCTGCCTAAAGGACATGAGTTTGAGCAAACTCCGGGGGACAGCAAAAGACAGGGAAGCCTGGCATGCTGTGGTCCCGTGGGGTCACAAAGAGTTGGATACAACTTAGCATCTGAACAACAACAACAAAGGTCCCACTTGGTTAGGAGAAGGGAAAAACCTGTTTCATACTCTCAGTAGTCTCAATCTGTTTAAGAAAGGATTTAGAAATAAAATTCTCCTTTTCAGACTATAAAAGTGAAAAAAGGTCATAATTTGTTCTACAGCTACTGGGCCATCACCATCACTGTCATGACCACCGTTACTGCCCACTGCCGCCACTGGGCTTCCCCGGTGACTGAGACGGTGAAGAATCTCTGCAGTGCAGGAGACCCAGGTTCAAGGCCTGGGTCGGGGAGATTCCCTGGGGAAGGAAATGGCAACCTACTCCAGGATTCTTGCCTGGAGAATCCCATGGACAGAGGAGCCTGGCGGGTGACAGTCCCTGGGGTCGCACAGAGTCAGACACGACTGAGTGATGAACAGTTTCAGGTTTTCACCACCACCCATCACGGGCTTCCCTGGTGGCTCAGCTGGTAAAGAACCCACCTGCAATGCTGGAGGCCTGGGTTCCATCCCTGGGTTGGGAAGATCCCCTGGAGGAGGGAATGGCTACCCTGCCACCACTATTTATGCCCGCACCACCATCCGTGCCATAACCACCATCACCACTGCGAAAATATCCACCACCACCGCCACCAAGCAATCTCTGAAATTACTAAGGACATCATTTCCTTTACTCTCTTGCTAGAAGTCAGAAAAATACTACCCCAAATTCCCTAGAAAACAAACTTTCATTTGGTAAAGCCTGTAGGAAATCTGACTGTTCAATTGCATCATGGGTATTTCATTTAGGACATAATAAATATGGCTAAATAATAACATATCTGACTAAAATATCTGGCATGATTTCTCATATGCACCCTTGGGCATTTGTCACTGCCGCTAATCTGGAGAAACACACAACCAAAGTTGGAAGTTTTCAGGTCTTGAATATACTTTGAAATTTTATGCCTTAGAAAAAGCTCAGCTATCTAATAACTAGCTATCAGTGCAATTTATATTTTATAGGGCTTATGCCAGGACTAACAAGAAAAATACACTGGGTTGGTAATTATATATTCATTGCAAAACAATCTGCCATTTCCATGTGAATAAAGACCTTAGGAACACAATGGATTCCATAGTCAGTGGCCACTCCATGAGAGTGCAGTATTGTTGAATAACTCACAGTCGCTGGAAATACCGTAGAGAGATGAAAAGGAATGTAAAAGACAAAATCACTAACATGCTAGTCCACACACCAGAGGCCCATTAAGCTGCTGGCTCATCTCCCAATATTCTACAAATCTTCAGCTACATCTGCCCCCAAACATCCTGAAGTTTCTTATGGTCTTTCCAGACAGCTCAGAAAGACAGTTCCATCTGTATTTTCTTAAATATGGGAGGAGGGAAGTCCCTAAGACATCCTTAGAGTCCTCTATCATTCCTAGGAGAGGTCAGTATAATCAAAACAGAGTCCAAATAAAATATTCAAAGATATATTCTTCTCTCAAAGACTATATACTCAAAAACCTCAGTGTTTATGAACATTTCAAACAATAACATACAAAACCCTGTACCTGATCATGCCCCCCGCCATTCTCTGCTTCCAAACTAGAAAACCAAAGAATCTAGGACCCCATAGAGATTCTGGGCACATTCAGCCTTGAAAGTGCCAAAGGCCCTCACAGATGCATCGATGCTTATTTTCCTCTGGAAACCAGAGGTCAAGTGTACAACGGGAGCGACTGGTCCAGAGCTCCCTCCTTTTGTTCCTTGACTTGCTGTATCTCTTAAACAATCACCCTGGATAAACACTCACTTAAAAAAAAACACTCTTTAAGACTGGAAGCATGGAGAAGATGAGAAAGAACTTTCTTCATGTGAACTTTCACAGGCAGCAGACGTTTAGCTTAAGCTTTTGCACCACTAGAATACCACCATAGATTCATTCTACTGCTCTTTCTGTGGTAATCACCAAGCTTAGGGGCCACCAAGGGAACAAAAAACGGACACGACAAACTGTTTCAACGACAGGAAAAGACACACGTGCAACAGACATGGTGAACGTGTCACAGGGCGCATTCCCTAGCTTCAGTGGACATACCTTAAGGACAATCTTATTATCTGAAGTTGGCGTCCTCCCCACCCACAGTGCAAATTTGCAAGGGTCTCCTTCAACGTGCTCTGTGACACCCAGCTCTGAGGTCTGGATAAAAAAAGACAATTACATGATTAGGTGGGATATAGAACAGAGAGCGAGTCATTTTTGGTGACTCATGTTCAAGCTGCATTGTAAGACACAGTTTGTTTACACCGATATACAGTCTTTGGATCTTGCTTCAGTTAAAATGAGGAAATATTGTTCTTAGGCTACCCAAGATTGGCTTCATCTCTTTTGCTTCCTCTGAGCACTTCTACCTGGAAATTCCGATGCAGGTCAACAGGCCAAGTCAGGAAAACCAAAATAGCTGAAAACTCTTATTATTTGGAAAATCAAGAGTTGACTATTTTCAATATTGTAAACACTAAGATGAGTCTGTCCTAGTTGCGACCGAGCTGCCACCATGAATCTTCATTATCGAAGCAGCTTCACAGAAGACAAATGGTAATTTAAAACTCAGTTATTTTCCAATGTGCTTATCAATAGCATTAATGTACAGTAGTTCACCAATCATTTTAAGGGCGAAGAGATAAACTTTCTGTCTGTAATTACATGCATTTGCAGGGGTGGAGATACAGGTCAACATCTTCATCCCCCCCTCAATAATCAAGTTCATCCCAATGCATTCTCTCCCTTCCAGCAAGGGAAGTGATTCATAATCTGGCCTCTGAGAGAACCTTAACTTTTAAAAGATAAATTAAGTGAAGATGTATCAGCTTCTAAAACAAACTAGAGTGGTCTCTAAGGACTGATTAAAGCCAGCTAGTGAAATGGTTAGCCAGGAATGCTGCATTTTTCCTCTGCAGTTACAATATGATCTAAAATGATGTCAGGCAGGCTGTGGTCCAAAAGACAATCTCAAGCAGGACACAAGCCAAAGAAAATGGTATGAAAGCCATTAGCTTGAATGTGTAAACTCCAGGTGATTATTAAGATGATTTCTATGCTTGGTCGTATTCTATTGTTCTGGGACTTTGATTGATATGAGGATATCATAAAAATGTGTAAGTTGTCCAAATTCCAAATTTCTACCAACATGTATAAGTGATCTGCCACATCTGGTGAAGAAACCAAATTTGCCTGCACTTTCTATTCTCCAACAGTGATTTTTCCTCCCCCTGCCTGACCCTGCCCAGAAATATTGTGTTGAGAGCCCTCTGAGGTATTGCCTGTGAAGGGGAGGTAGAAGTCAGGGGACCCGGAGGTTGACACCTGTCGGAGACTTTTTTGAGCATTGATTTGTGGTTTATAGAGACTTGGGTGGGGCTGCTACCTGTGGAAAAAAGAACCAGGTATGTTTCTCTTGACAGGAAGTACACTGACAAGTTAAAGGAGATTTTAAATGTATCGCTGTATCTGTCAAGCACCGCAGGGAAGCTGTATCTGGGTGGAAGTCGGGGGATAGAAGGCATGTGGATCTTTAAAGTGATTTTTGCAGCTGGAAATAGAACTGCCATATGACCCAGCAATCCCACTTCTGGGCATACACACCAAGGAAACCAGATCTGAAAGAGACACGTGCACCCCAATTAAAAAAAAAAGTGATTTTTGCTTACACGATTTTCTCTCTTTGCTGCTGAAAGAACCGCTAAGATCATTTATTTTTCTTAAATTTATTTTTAAAGAAAAAAATCAAGCTTCATCATTAATAGACCACAGTAAGCCACTGTAAGGCTGCTTAAGTAAATTCCAATGCTGATGAATGAAACATTAATTATAATGATGTGAGAACTTACTTAACCACAGTCTGATATGCTCGATTTATTTATAAAGCTAGTTAAGGCACGCAGGAGATAAATAATTTAAGTTCACTTATAAAGTGTTCTCTTATCCCACAGTTAGATCTTAAATAATTTAGAAAAAGCCGTTTCCTAAACCTACGGATGATCACACTCACAAGCGCCCTCTAGTGGATTCAAGAATGTCAGTATTTCACTGAAGATGAAAATAAGATAATTTCAGATGATTTTCAGATAGTTTAGAACAGTTTGGGAGGTTAAAACCGAAGGCAACCAATGCTAACTTTTCTCTAATCATAAAAAAAACTTGCAATTGTGTCACCTTTAAACTTACAATTCTGAAGGCCTGTACTTACAAACAATTTGCTTTTATAAAGGTACTTGCTTCTGCCACTGGAATCTTTTACTTCTTTACTAAACACCAAGGACATCTCAAACAGGAAGAGGTGCCGCTCACGGCCCTTTCTGATTAAGGTTTTGGGGTCCCACACTTGGAAGGATTCCTGCAGGATCAGCTCTCCCTGAGACTCAATGTTCTCGTCGAACCCTAGGATGTGAAAAAAAGGCACAGTCAGTTGAAAGGAAATAAACAATGATGCAGGAGACAGTGTTATGGCTGCTTAAACGTTTGTAAGAGGCCCATCAGTTAAATCCCAGATGAGAGCTTCCCATCTGGGCCTTGGGCTCCAGTCTCCCTAGCACTGACAGAGGATAATTTTTCCTATAATACAGCCTTGCATGTATTCCGCCCCCTGTTCAAAACAAATGCAGCCTTATTCTGCAAGTCCTCCTCCTTCAGCATCCAAGATGTGCTTTAAGCACCCCGTCACTCAATGTCCCTTCCAGCTTTCCACACACAAGCATGCTCCATCCAGGATGGCTCACTGACCCTGACCCCATCCTCCCCTGCAACTTTCACTCTATGTCCAGACCCTCTGCTTCCTCAGCCCAGAACATCCTTCCTGAACTGCTCTCTGCAGTCCCAGCATTTCTTCCAGGCCGTCGTCTGGCCTTCTTCCTGGGAGACATCCCTGGTTCCCTGAGGAATTCTCTGTCCTTTAGACACAAAACCCTTGAAGCAAGTCAGTGGCGCTCTGGACGCGGGCTGGCTCTCACTGCTGCTGTCTCTTCATGGCGTGGCAAGGCAGACCCGGGCAGGGGCAGCTAGCGATCTCCTGCCCTCTCTACCAGCAGAAGTTCCTCTGTCTCCATGGCCGCTCAAGCCAGCCTGCCTCTCCCAGCATCAGTCTGCCTCTCCCAGCATCAGCCTGCCTCTCCCAGCATCAGCCTGCCTCTCCCAGCATCAGCCTGCCTCTCCCAGCATCCTCTGGGCTGGGGCAGCCGCGGCCACGCCCACTTAGGCCTGGGCCACAGGGCAGACTGCGAGGGTCTGCCCTAAGCACTGGCGCCCTCCCCCGCTGCCTGCTAGATGGGAGAGGAACAGGGCCTTGCACACCCTGCACACCTGGCCACCCAGAACAACACCTGAGGAGCGGAGAGAGACCTGCCAGCCAGAGCCGGGGCCCTGGTGACCCCGTGAGGGCTGCCCACCCGCTCAGGATTTTACAACAGAGGAAGAAAGGTGCTCTGGCTTGGCCTCTGATTCTGGGGGGACGGAGTGTCTGTGCAACAAACAGGAGCACCTCTGTCCTCACCGGTAAAACTGTTCAACACAGCCGACGGTGACGACATAGGCCAGCACAACCTCTGGGGCAGGAGTACTGCTTAAAATAACTCTTGAGTAACCTGACAATAGGAGTTAAGCTATTACACAGAAAGAGTTTTCTTAGGAGCAGTCAGGGAAATTATACTCGTGATGATAATGTTTAATTAAGCATATTTATCTGATTCTCTCTTTACCATACTGCACACCCGGCTCGGCTGCACAGGCAGGGAGGAGGTACCTGCTTTCTTCAAGGCTCCAGCAGGTGATGCAGTGGATGGAGAGATGGGGAGGACATGAGCCCTGGAGGGACCATGCAATCCTGGGGGGTGGGTAGACCTATCCTTCCACCTGCCCATCTACCATGGAGACTGGGTGCTCCTTGGGTGCGGAGTGGAGTGGACCGCGGCTTGTAATGAGGGGGGAGCATGTCACGAGCACCTCGAGGGAAGCAATGAGACCAATTCTTGGAAAGAGAAGGTCCCGTGCCTCCATTGGCGACTCCTAACTGAGCACAGAGGGGCAAGGACGCAGGGATGGTGGCGGGGCAGCGTCAGTGGGGTGGGGGGCCTACCTTCTAGCATGCTGAGGTGCATGGCGTCATTGGCCCGCTTGGGCACGCTGAGCATCACCTCCAGCCCGTCCTTGATCTCCCCCTTCCCCTCCTCGCAGCACGTGAGCAGCTCCTGTGGGAGACCAAGACCATGAGATGCTCTGCTCAGGAGGTCTTCACAGAAATCAGGGAGTTTGTGAAAATCCATGATGTTCGCGGTAAAAACAGATGTGGTCAACTGGGCAGAGACTCTCATAAGGGAATGCATAAGGGAACCTGAACTGTCTCTTTAGCCAGTGGACGGAAGGGTTTGTCCTGCTCAAGTCAGGATGTTTCTTAGGGTTCAGAGGAAACCAAATGCAGTCATAGTTGAAGATGAATTTAGTGTACATGTTAACTACTGAGCCTCAAAAATGACGAACAATTTAATCAGGGTAGCAAAGCACAGGCACCTAGAGGTTACATGCCAAGGTTAAGTCAGAGTCCTGTGAGTCCTGCTCTGCTGCCCACAGGGTCCAGCACGATCTGAGCTCCATCTGCCTGCAATGCAGGAGACCCAGGTTCGATCCCTGGGTGGGGAAGATTCCCTGGAGAAGGGAACGGCACCCTACTCCACCCTTATTCTTGCCTGGAGAATCCCACGGACACAGGTCCCTGGCGGGCTCAGCCCATGGGGCTGCAAAGTGCCGGACACAACTGAGCCACTAACACACACACAATGTTCCTCTACTCTGGAGCTGCCCCGTCTCCAGCAGGAACTGCATGGCTGTCCAGGCACCTACAGGGAAACGCTTCTTTGTGCTGGGATGTTCAAAAAGCTCTAATGACTGCAGGATGCCTCCCCGGGCAAGTAACATTTCAGATCTACGTACGAGCATCCCTGTCTTAGATGAGTGACAGCAGGGACCACACAGTCACATTCTAGTTGGGGCCAAGGTATTTTCTCGCCAGTGTATTAATCACTGTTAGCAGTCAGTAACAACAGCTTTCTGTGTCCCAGTGTTCAGCAAAAGGGAGGTGGCACTGCAGTTGGCTTTAGCTGCACCCTGGAGGGTCTAGGGCAGTGGTCCCCATCCTTTTTGGCACCAGGGACCGATTTTGTGGAAGACACTTTTTCCATGGACGAGAGTTGAGGGGGTGGGGGTGCTGGGGTGAGAAGAATGGTTTCGGGATGATTCAAGCACACTGTATTTACTGTGCAACTTTATTCCTAAGATCATTACATCAGCTCCACATCAGATCATCAGCCATTAGATCCTGGAGGTTGGGGACCTCTGGTTTAGGGCAAGGCAGCTGCCCAACAGACCCCTGTCCTCATGGCCAGATGGTGTGCACCTCTTATTCTGAGCCGCTTGGCATTAAGGGCTTTAAAACTGCCATGTGCTGAGGTTGAAAACCCCCTCACTGGGGAGCTTGGCATAGCTCATGATTGCTCAATGGAAGAACCCCTGGGCAGAATCAAGTCAGGTTTATAAATTAAAGCAGCAGTTTAATAGTGAGGTCACTAAGGCAGAGATCTTTACTAGAACCACATGTGAAAAACAAAAGCCATCAATCTTGAGGACACTAAGAGGTAAACTGCCTTTGCAGAATTAGAAATCAGAGGGCAAATGTGAATATAAACAACTTAGCCTCCTGACTTCTCTTGCACGTTTATAGCAACCACATATTTCTGCTGTGGTGGTCATAAAATACCCTAATGGGAATCTGACATTCTGAAAGTGCAGGAGAGCTTTCCGATAGAAGAATGCTATAATGGGGTCCTGTCACAAAAGAATGTAGCCCCTTTTTATTGCCTCTAGATGTTTTTCTTTTAATTAATAACAACAAAAAAAGTCAATAAGGGTTTGGACATTCAAAACTTCATCTTCTGTATCTCTTTTATATCTAGAAAAATTACAAGATCCCGTATTATGGTAGGACTGCACTGGGACGTAATCGGGTTCATGAAACATTCTTACTGGGATAAATGGGTGTTGGGTACGTTCTAATGCTTAGTAACATTCACCAGCTAAGGAAACACTGGTGTAAACATCATGAGATGGAAGCTGTGAATTGTTTTTCTTGTAGTCAAGAAAATGTCGATTATATACAATAAATTCTGTAACATCTCTTACCACAAATTATAAGGTTTTTTTTTTACCATTCTATTGTCAAAACTAATTATTATTTGGTTTTTACAAGTGTGATTTTAATTATAATCATTCATAACCAGAAAACAGCAAGGTCAGTTTTACAGAAATCATAGCAATGGCACTAAATCATCCAGAATTGACAATTTCTCTTTCCTTTCTCAATTTTATGTTAGGGACTAGGGTCAGTCAGCAAAGTTCAGGTGCATAATTAAGAAATATACTCTTACTTACCTGATACACTGAGAAATCAGTCAGGGCAAAAAATGGCAATTAATCAAAAAATAAATTTGCTAGATGTTATTTAAGAAACTCAGGATTCTTCATATAAATAAAACAATGTCAAAATAGTAAGGCACTATGTGTAAAATTTTGCAGGTTTAAGATGCTTCATACATACTTTTAAAAGGAGCTGATACTTTGTTATTCGCTGAACCGGTTTAATAAGGTAGGAGGAGATGGAATTGGCTAATCCATGTCGCTGCTGTATTTCCTGTATTCAAAAAAGAATACACACACCACTGGGAGGTCAGACAGGAGTAACTAAAAATTTACATTATTTACCCCCATGATGAAATCACACAAACTACTTTTTCTGTAAATATAAAGTAGAAATTACTATTGCTTCTTTTAATAAACAAAACATAAAAATAACAAGTTTCAATCATCACTTTGAGCCCTGAAGACACAGTGTCTCCCCTGCACTACAAAGCCTTCATGTGCAGAGGTCAAGCAGGGAGACCGACCCTTCGTGAGCCCGCCCCCGTGGCCAACACTGCGCCTACACCCCTGGGCCATCGCTGCGCCCCACCCCCGTGGTCCGTCGCTGCACCCCACCCCCCTGGCCATCACTGTGCCTGTCGCTGCGCCCCACCCCCGTGGCCATTTCTGTGCCCGCCCCCCATGGCCGGCACTGTGCCCGTCACTGCGCCTGCCCCCCTGGGCCGTCACTACACCCCGCCCCTGCGTGGCCGTCACTGTGCCCGGCCCCCTGGGTTGTCACTGTGCCCCGCCCCTTGGGCCGTCACTGAGCCCACCTCGCCCCTTGGGCTGTCACTGTGCCCGCCCCCCTGCCTGTCACTGTGCCCCGCCCCCTGGGCCGTCACTGAGCCCACCCCTCTGCCTGTCACTGTGCCCCGCCCCCCTGGGCCGTCACTGCATCACCCAGCGGTCAGACTCTCTGGCTATAGCTCCTGAAGCTCCAGCCACGTGTGCACCTTCGTCACAGCCCACATCCCCAGCCCTCTCTACTGCAGGCTTCCCTCACCCTCACTATAAGGAACTCTCTCCCGTTTGCTCTCGTTTTCACAACAACCTACTGTATTTCCAATCTCTTAGCTCTTGGCTTCCTCCTTAGGCTGCAGGGTTTTTAAATGACCGACGCTGAACATTATGTGTGCCACACGCTCTCATTGCTTCTTAGGCCTTAAATAATTCTAACTGCACAGGGCCACCGTGGTGGGCTTCACATAATGGCAAAGGCCCAGGGTCATGTGAAATACTGGAAAGAAAGGGCCACCCTGGGCTGAGAGTGGGCTTCCTATGCACCCAGCCAGGGACGTGTAACTATGGTCATGACAACTAAGAGGGGGCCACCTACAGCCAGGGCTCTACTTCACAGACAGAAGCTAGAGTTTACTCTAATTTCCCAGACTTTCGGAGAAGAGCAGATGATCACAGGAGGCCATGAAGAAATGTGAGCATGGGAACAAGTCTAATAACCTCATGGACTCACACCAAATTACATCTAACATTCGAAAGTACCTTATCTTTAATCAAAATGTATTTGGCACATCTGACTATGTTCTGGAAATCCCCCCAATCACTTTATGTATCATAAGACTCCATCCTTTTTTGTTCTAAATAATGTCTCTGTAAAGTCTTTCCAAAAGTGAAACGAACTATGTTTGCACCCATGAGAATATAATTAATGAACCTCCCAATGGTCTGAGTTGTTACAGTGCCATTTGTAAAATTTTACTGGTAGGCTGCTTTTGGAAATTAAGTACCTCATGAAATTGAAATGGGAAAAATAAGTGATTAAAAATATTCAAAATTATTTTTGTTTTATAGAGGATAAAGGATGCTTCGTTTCATTGTTTATACTCATATATACAATATGACAAATAAAAAACTAGTGAGTGTATGTAAATTGTAAGTAAAGACATATATACATATGTGCATATTATAGTCTGAAATTTTTATAGTACATACAGCTTGCAGTACTATAGAAAAATATTTTAAAAACGTAAGTATAAGAATATTCCATTTTAAATGTGATAAATAAAAGTGATATACTAATTAGGTGAAAGTTACGAGTCACCCTACATTTAACGTACACCAAAAGCAACTTAGAAAATACCACAGGTTTTTTTTTAGTAATCTTTTACTTACATCAAAGTAGGATCCTGCATGCTCTAATATCAGCTGAGTAGAATCAGGCTTATTTTTGCAATACGTGACATACATCTGAAACTTGTCTGCCTATAAACAAAAAGAAAATTAGAGTAATATCCCTTTCAAATGGCAAAGTCAAATTATGACAACTTTTTATGTAGAAAAGAAGCCGTGTGTATAAGTGAAATTCAAGCCCCCAGTTTAAAAAGCTCTCTAAAGATATTAAAATAAGAAACATGTCCTGCGACAGGACACATGTCCAGAAACCTCCCCTGGCCCAGCGAGTCAGGACGGAGCCCCGGCCTCTCTTCCTACAACAGTGCATGCAAAGCTGAGTGTCACACTTAGACGGCAGGGCCTGGTCACCAGGTCACTTGCCTGCCTCCCTTCCTCCTGACCCGACAATCCCCCTTGGGCAGGGCTGAGCACTCATGTTACACAGGAATCCTCAGGGCCATGCAGAGGCCTGGCATATTCACTCAACCTCCTGGACCAAGCCAGCACTACTGCCGATGAAAAGCTGGTCCCACAGTAATAACTAGCTGGAGAACGTCATTTTTGGGGGTAAAGTCTGCTTTTCTGTCTGCAGACACCAGGAGAAAAGGACGCCATTTGAGAAGTGGACAGTGTTCCTTCTAACATCCCTCAAAGCCAGCAAACAGTAGTGACAGAACAAGTTGCTGAGGTTTCATTACCCAGGTTACAAAGCAATGTCCCACGTCCTCTGGCAACTGCTCATATTTTTCCAGCTCTTTTAGGAATATGCTGCAGAGAGTAAAAATGGTATTATATTATTAAGGTGTCCTAAAACATTTTACGAGTGAGATATGCCAGGAATAAGACCAAGCATACCAGGAATTCAGGCAATGTCTGAATTGCATCATTTTAGCCAAAAGGAGTGAAAATTGTATCATTTAGATTTTAGTTTAACAAAATGTGCAGCAAGTGCTATGAACTGGGGTAAATTACTGTGACTTTCTACAATTCATTAGTTTAGCCTTCAGATACTTTCCAGGTTTCCTTTGTGGCTCAGCTGGTAAAGAATCTGCGGGAGGCCTGGGTTTGATCCCTGGGTTGGGAAGATCTCCTGGAGAAGGGAAAGGCTACCCACACCAGTATTCTAGCCTGGAGAATTCCATGGACCTGGGAAGCCTGACATGTTTAGTAGCAAAGGATAAAATTTAGGGGGCACTCAGTCCAGAGAAACTAGTTAGGTCTTCGTGTCTTGTGGGATGGGGGGCAGAGGAAGACCCCGCTGGCTCTGGCCAAGCACCATTTTTCCCGGGCGATCTGGGGTGCACAGACTCCACCTAAAGATGTTGCTGCCGTCTTTTCTTTTTTTCCTCCTTTTTTGACCTTAAAAATAAAGCCACGTGCCTCCTCTGGCCAGTGGCAAGCGCACTTTACTTTGGTCACACTACACATCTGCTGTCCTCAGATCCTTCCTCCTTATTAGGAAAGACCAAAAACACCAGTCAGCAGCCCGTGGAGTGCAGTCTTTTCTTTGAACCCTAAGAAGTAACTGACGGGGCAGCTGATGATATGGGTCGAGAGCAGTGAGTGTGCCTACAAAACAGCTTCTGGCTTTCTGAATCTCATTTCTATAAAGAGTGAATTCAAACAGAAAGCCGAGGGTCTGTTAAAAACAGTCTCGAGAATCTCTGTCCTTGAAGCAAGACTGGCAGACTTCCTTCAAATTCCAACAGAATCCCTGGAATCTGTGTGTATTCGACTAGAAACTTGTATTTGTCATGGCACTTCGGCACAGTACCTAGACTTCCAGAGTTGCTAACAGGGCCCCTACAGATGAAGCCACTCACTTATTGTGAAACTCGTAGATCTCCTGCATGTTCCCGAAGATGATGAGCTCTTTGTTCACAATGCCTGGGGGGATCTCCTCCACGCCGCTGGTCATTTCCCACAGGTAGGTCTGGCCAGGAGGAAAACAGAGAGGGTTGGACAAAAACCCAGGGCACACCTCCAAGGAACAGCTACTTCTGTGCTCCATCAATACACACCCAGAGTTAATGTCTAACTAAAAGTGTATCTTAAGAATGGAACCTCTTACAAAGCAACATGAGAAACTAAGACAAGTCTCAGTTGCTATTAATATTTGAGCATACCATCTATTCTTTTCAGCTCTAAATGTACTCCCAGCTTCAAATCTGGGGATTAAGCTGCTCCTCAAGGTACAAGGGAGATCCGTTAAACTACGGAGTGTCAGCGACTGGTCGTAATCGGTAGGCGTGTCTCTCTGAAGCTGCTGTAAAATTCTACAGAGAGAATGTCAGCCAGGCCATCATGTGATACATGAAACAAGAGGATTAGTGGTGTTATCATCTCTGTAATGAGCGAAACACGCCTGGAACTTCAGAGAAGTGCAGAAACATACACGGAGGGCCACCTGTGCACACTTTCAATCTCAAAAACAATCACCAAACAGACGACCACTTTAAGAATTAAACAGGTAAGAATAAACAGCCCTGGCCATCTCCCATGGACCACTGGGTCAGAAAGAGTTAGACACGACTGAAGTGACTGAGCACATACAAGAATAAACAGCGAGACTGTACGTGTCCCGTCCAAACGAGCAAGAAACTCACTTACATCCATACACTCCCGGAGGTCTCTCACGTAGGCCTTCTCAGTCTGAATCAGCTCAGCCATTATGAACCTTAAAGCAGAGGGAGACAGGTGACCGTTTAATTCACAGTCAGGACACAGGCTCATTTTAACTATTCACTTTTAGGGTTTATGAAATAATAAGGTGCCTTTATTAGCCAGTGATGTGTTCTGGAAGATTACAACAAGAATGCGTAGAAGAATAACAGGGCCCAATCAGCAGGTCAAAGGAAAAAAAACATTTCAGAAAAAATTTTGCTGTGGTACCCAGTGATCAGGGTTTCTCAACTTGGCAGCGCTGATGTTTGGGGCTGGACAATGCCTTGCTGGGGGCTGGCCTGGACACTACAGGACGCTGAACGGCACTCCTGGTCTCTGCCCCCAGGATGCCAGTAGTGCTTCCCCTGCCCCGTTAGCTGACAACCCAAACGTCTCCACATACTGCCCAGTGTCCCTCTGGGGGACACAGCTGGCCCCGACAGAGAACCGCTGGTTGAGAGCCATCTTTGGTCTCTATTAATACTCAGCAGAGTTTACTAATTGCCAACTTTCAAACTTCAGCACTTGTATTATTAATTTCTCCTCCCCAGTATTATCACTCGTGACCTACTGACGACAAACGATAGTGAAGCAAGTTGTCAGCCCCATGAGACGGGGCACAGGGATAAAGATAAGACACTGTGTCCGAACCAGCTGACGTGGGGGCAGTGGGCCCAGTGGTCGTTCTTGCTGTGAAAATGAAGCACATTCAGAGCAACGAGAAGGATTAATGCCGTTTGGTTTCAGAGCACACACAGAAGCAAGCATGCTTGTCCAAGTGACATCTCCTTCACTTCCTCAGTGAATCGTGGCGGGCTCTTCAAGGCTAGCTTACTCTTTCCGGCGGGCAGATTTCCGCTTTTCCTCATTAAGTTCATGGGCGGCATCTCGGAGTTTCACCTCTGAGCCGGGGATACTGGCCGGAACGATATCCAGCTGAAGACTTTTGCTCTGTGGAATAAGGGAGGCAGCGCACCTCTGTTAATTAAATCAACAAGCAGGACACGAAGACGCAGATGGTAATTTATCCCGCTGGCACAAAGCAATTTTACCGATTTGTTGGAATCTGAAGAAATGCCCAGAGCTTTCTCCAAAGAGGTCCGGTGTTTCTCCATCCGCAGAGAGAAGTCTCTGTACCTTTTATCCACAGCAGTGACGCATTTTTTGATCTCTGCCGCATGGGCATGCCCCTTCTCACAAAAGCCGTCGGCCAGCTGTATCAATAGCTTCACTCTCTCTTTGGTTTGCTGCGAAAGAACAACAGGAAAAGTATTGTGAAGCAAATGAGTTCAACTGCCGGCAGCCAGAAACACAGCGGCAACTGGCCTACAACTCTGAGCTCTGGACAGGAAAACGAACACTGGGGAAAGACACTCAGGCTGAGACCCCAAGTCCACACCAATTCACCTCCCCGTCCCTAGACTGGCTCCCCGGGCTCGGCTCTCTCCCCAGCGAATGGCATTTTCATGACTGCGAGGAAAAGTCTGGGCTCTGTTTGGACGGTGTCTTCACCTGGTGGATGCCCAGACCCCGCAGACTGAGCAGGCGGAGACTGACTCGGGGTGGTGTCCGCAGTCCGACCCTCCTTCCGTGAAGGCTGCAGGTGCTGGGGACAGACACCCTCGCCTCATGCTTGTCTAGCCTGTGTCCCCAGTTAGACTGAAGGCCTGTTCAGGGCAACAGCCATCGGGGATTTTCCTCCTCCTCCTCAGGCGGCCTGTGTGGCCAAGGCGCCTCCCCCAAGCCACAGGCACCTAACCAACCGCCTGAAGAAGCACCATGCCCCATGCTCGTTTCTTCTTTAATTCTCAGGAGATAAGGCAGGAGGAGTCACCACCACGAAGCTGATTCACAGAGGTATTTTATAAACTTGCTCCCCGTGTGAAAACTCTCTCTCCAAAGTAAATTTATTTCATTTTATATACACATTTGGAAAAGGAAGTGGCAACCCACTCCAGTCTTCTTGCCTGGAGAATTCCATGGACAGAGGAGCCTGGTGGGCTACAGTCCATGAGGTCACAAAGAGGTGGACATGACTGAGTGACTTTCACTTTTCACTTTTCCACTCTTCATGTGCACATAGGAAAGATCTTTAAGTGAAGGATAACTTTTCCTTTTTAAATTTAAGGATAACCATAAAACAAGCATTCTCCCTCGCTCCCTCCTTCTCTCTCTATATATATAAAATATGGGCTTCGCTGGTGGGTTAATGGTAAAGAATCTGCATGCTAGTGCAGGAGACACAAAGAGATGTAGGTTCAATCCCTGGATCAGGAAGAGTCCCCGGAGAAGGAAATGGCAACCCACTCCAGTATTCTTGTCTGGGAAATCCCATGGACAGAGGAGCCTGGTGGGCTACAGTCCATGGGGTCACAGAGTCAGACATGACTAAGCATGCACGCATGCACACACACACACACATGTAAACATATATATAGACATGCAGTAACTCAAATCTGATTTTTCAACAGATATTCTGTCACATTCATTGCATTTACTATTACACTTATTATTATCACTAGACTTATATCCTTTGTCGTTACCACTTCTTTTATTATCACTGCTTCGGCTTCCTTCAACAGCCCCACTGGCATTTCAAATGACTCCGGTTACTCTTCTGCTATGGAACCTTGCTTTTCTCAGTTAGTCATAAAGATTTTCTGGTGAAAGCCTAACATTCAGGAAGTTGACTTTAAAAGTCTCCCAAAGGAAGAAGGTCAGGGTTCAAAACCTGGATAAACTATCTCAGTTTGTACAATAAAAGTTTTTGAGCAGAATTCACTAGGCAGCCTGCAGAGCCAGCTGTCAACAGCCTTAGACTCTACATGAACGTCCTGGGCCTCCGGTGGGCTCCCCCATAGGGTCCAACGTGCCCAACACCCTTCCAAGGCTTGCCGGCCTTCAGTTCTGTGCACCACGGCCCCTTTGGCCTGGAAAGCTGGTCCCCTGGACAGCTCTGTGGTTCCTTCATGTCTCTGCTCAAATAAAAGCCATTCTTAACTGGCCTCCCTGACTCTCTTAAAATTGCAGCTCACCTCCCTGCCCCAGGCACTCTCTCCCCATCTGCTCTGCTCCGCCCTGTAGCATCAGCCTCCAAGGAGGTATAATTTACTTGCTAAGATCACCGTCTCTCTCCTGGTTAGAATGTACCCACCAGCAGTCAGGGACATTTGCTTGCTTTACTCATTAATATTTCAAGGGCCTTCTCTGTGTCTGATACATGGAGGACATTTACCAAATATTTATTGAGATAATAAATTAACATTGGGGCCTTTATGCAAGTGTATATACACCTGTAACTTTAATAGGCATAGTAGTTACTTTTAACTGGCGTGAATATGTAATATACAAAAAAACAAAACAAAACAAACAGCCACATGAAAAGTGAACTCAAGGGACATTACTGTCTCTGTGGGGAAAAAAAATCACTGTTGTGAATTATATAAAAGCTGTTTATGGAGAAATTGAGCAGAACTGACAGTACTCTAAAAGTTTCTGGGGCCTTCATCTTGTGTGGAAGGCATGATATCATGAATGATAGCAGTGGAGGGCACTGCAAACAGCTCACCACTGAATTCAGGGGTTTGAGCACTGCCTCCTGCCTCACTTCTCACACCACTGCCCCAGTGGTCCACACCCTAGGCTTCGCTGGGATCACGCACTACTGTAGTTCTTACTTGTCAAAAGAAATCTGAGTGTAAGTGGACCCACACGGTTCAGACCCGTGTTGTCTAAAGGCCACTGTGTCTCTTTAAGGGGTTAAGAAATTGGTTTCATGTTTTAAGTGGTGGGGACACAGAAGTAAAGCTAAAAAGAGACAATCTGCCTACATTAAAACAGAAAACAAAAACCACCAAGAAACCAAAGGAAGATTTTCACATATGTCAAAAATACATCACAAAACAGACTAGTTGTCTGTATGTGACACCAATAGGCTGATTCTAATTATATGAAACTCAATGCAGACCAGAAGATTTCCCATAGGCAAAGCCTGGCAGATCTAAATCTTCCATATATAAACTTCATTTAAACAAAAAATGCTAATCAGAGAGTCAAAGTCTTCTTGATGAAATCCGCCACAGCCTGTCAGAGATGGCAACCCTCATCGCCAGGCTGTCATTTGCTCTTATTATTTAACATGCGTGCATATATTTTTACTTATCCATCATGTTACTACTGGTTTCTCCAATCAGAACATGCAATCCATGAGCTCAGCACAGACAGCACCTCTTGGTACACAGTATGGACTCAAGAAATAATTGTTGAATGAATGAATGGTGTGCTTAAAACTAAGTAGAACGAATCTGCTAATCCATAAAACTTTACATTTTTATTTTAATTGATACTTTTAAAATGCATTCATGTATTGTATGTGAATTTGTATACATTCAAAGTGTATTTGAATTCACAGAATTAAAAGTTCAAAGGACATAGAAGGACACAAAGTGAAAAGTCTTCTCACTCCACATACACCTGTTGCCTGTATCAACTCCGTGCGCATGATGCCGGACATTTTATTACATACAAACAAGTGTCTGTATGTATACGTGTCGTTTTCTCCCTTTCATTTTTTTTTTGCATAAATGCATATGACAACCACCGAGGGGCACCTGGTGCCTCTTCTAACAACTCCTGCTTCTCCTTTATCAGCAGGACACAGCAGCCTCCTTGCTTGTATAAAGAGATTTTTCTGAAAGCAAATTTCTGTTTTTAAAGTGTACAAATAATATAATTGGAACAACTTTGTCTTTAGGCATAATCAAGCGACTGGAGTAAAATAAAGGCAGACTGAACGCTTAAGCCACAAATTCAAAACAGCCTTATTCATGGTGTTCTCAGGTGGTCAGAAACCCGGAAATGATGCAGATTCAATGATCTTGGACATTTTCTGGTCAAAGAAGGTATTTGGCACAGGAGACATGGGCAATCAAGGAGCCATGTGGGGAGAAGGTGACAAGATAGTGAAGGTCAATGTAAGGCAGCGGGTCTCAAACTTCAGCATGCATAAAACCACCTGGGGAGATGGTTAGAGATGCTCTGTGTCAGGTCCCGCTCCCAGCAAGTCCAGGTCAGTATGTGCGGTGTCTGGTGAGGACCGAGATCTGCTTCTAAGTAAACACCCAGGGCCTGGATGCAGGTGGTGCGTGCAAAGCATTTTGAGAAATTACTGCCTTGAGTTGCCAAGGAATCAAGGTGAGCCTTAATCAGACAGTGAGGAGAGGCTTTATTTCCATTAACCCTGAAAACGTTAGATACTAATTATGTAACTACTGGATTGGAAGATGTCATGTCAGAGCAAGAAGAAGGTTTTTCTATATAACAAGAGAAAAATGACTTCTCAGGAGACAGTAAGACATGGGTGGGGGCAGGGGTGGACAGAAGGTGAGCAAGGGCCTCACTTCAACACGAAAAACTAAATGATGTCTCCCAGCACCAGAGCAGGAGTTTTCTGATGAAACAGAAAAGTAGCCAGAAACCAAAGAAAAAATGCTAAGAAAATAAAAAGTACGAGCTGCTCTTTTCAAAATCCATCAGTTTCTCTTAGCAAAATGAATTCAGTATACCCAACAGACGAAACAGCTCTGTCTATTCGGAAAACACAAAGGTCAAATTTCACCTATGATTTTAGATGTTTCCTTTTTTTTTTTTTTTTACAAAATATGAGGCAAAAATATGCCTCTTACTGCTCATTCTTCCAAAAACCACAAGCCAAGTTTGAGGAAAAGGAACATTTAGGAATAATGGGAAAGCCCCTCCATCCAGCCTCTACTGGGGGCACGAAGCTGCGTGATGCTTCACCCTAGATGGTGACGTCCACACCCGCTATGTGCAGGGTGTGTGCCCCCAAGCTGTGTCTGACTGCACACAGGGCCGGCAGAGCGCAGCATTCACGGGAATTTAAGTTGGGGCAAAGGAGCAAAACTTCAAGCTACTTGAGTGGTATCTTAGGCGTTTTCTTTGTATCTTTATAACCGAAGGATACTCAAGAAACAAATACAAATCATCGAATGCACACAATAACTGTATTTATTATCCAATTACTAACAAAAAATAACAATTACACAGCCAAAGCCGTGCTAGAGCTAGAGGAAGGGAAGGAAAAGACGTGATGCTTACCTGCTGAGGCAGCAAAGGCCAGCTCCCCTAACTGAGCAGGCGGGGGGGCCCCTCAGCACACCTGTGGCCCCTCTGGGTGTGACCCCACACTGAACGCCAAGGCTCCCTACCGAGCCCCACTGGACTGTGGGCTTCTCCAGAACAGAGACTGTGGGTTCCCACAGCCCAGCACCCAGAGGCTGAACGGAAAAATGAATTTACAGCTTGTGGTGGGGGCGGGGCCCGGGGGAGCAGTGCCCAGGGAAGATTACCGGGAAGAGTCAGAAATTGCTACAAAAAGCATGAAAAAGTACAAATCGACATGATACAAAGTAGCTTTTGTCATCCTAAATGATTTAAAAATTCCCCATTGATATGTTCTCAAAGCCTAGTTAAGGGCCACCAGAGAAAATCAATCTTTTTACCTTATAGGAACACTACTCTTTAACCAAAATTGTCACCCAGCTTGACACTGATTTTCTACTCTTAAATCTGAACTTATTTCCAACTTTTTCTAAAACCTTAAAATCATCCAAAACAGAGGTGCTTCTGAAAACTGTACAAAGAATGCATATTCAAAACTCTGAAAAACAAAAAATACCACCGGTTGAGAAGATAAGCCTAAAAAACTCAAAAATGTTTTGAGGTTAAAAAAAGGAATTAGCCCCTGCAAATATGTATTTCAATTGAGAAAATATTCATGCCGATGTGTGAATTCTTACATACTTGCTTAAGAATTCATAGTTACATACGCTGTGTATGCCTTGGAGATGTATTTAATTCTGCAGGAAAGTGAAAATGCCTCCAGCAGTATAAACCTATGAATAGCTACTGACATAAACTGTGCCAACCATCAAGCCCAGACAGCTTCAGGACTGGACAGCCAGGCGTGATGCTACTTTATCCTGGCCTAATGCTACTGTAACAGTTTTCACTGCTCAAGACAAGGAAACACCCACAGGACCCACCTAAGTCAAGCTGGGAATACCAGCGTTCCATAAAAATAGCAAGTACTTGGAAAATACCTTGGGAAATAAAACGGAATGAAAATAAGAGAAGAATAATGAAAAGGACCAAGAAGCAAGAAAAATTTAAGCAGGTGTGGGGCTTTCCAGAAGTCAGAGGAACAAGAGGAAGCAGAAAAATGAAGGTATGGGTGGGGACAGCGTGAAAAGGGCTCAGAATGATCCCTAAATTAAGGTCTAACAGTCCCTCTGGCTCAGCCCATTCCTCCATCTTATAAGGGAGGTCTTCAATGATATTTTTAAGAAAGACCTTATTTACACAAAGTAGGATTCCCTGGTGGCTCAGATGGTAAAGAAGAACCTGTGTGGGTTCAAACCCTGGGTCAGGAAAATGCCCTGGAGAAGGAAATGGCAACCCACCCCAGCATTCTTGCCTGGAGAATCCCCATGGTCATGGGAGCCCGGTGGCTATAGCCCATGGTCACACAGTCGGGCATGACTGAGCATGTACACACACGGGGCTTGAGGTTATCTGGGGAACACCCGGCAGCCACTCAGGCCTGGGGCTGCGGCGAGCTCACCTTGGCGGTGATCTGGAACTCCTCATGCTCCTTCAGCAGCTCCTGGGTGTGCTGGATGCTTGAGCCCGTGGAGGTGTGGGTGGAGAGGTAGAACTCCCCGCTGTCGTGGATCCACTCCAGAGCCTAGACGCGGGAGGAGTGGGAGAGAGTTCAGGCCTCAGCGGTGGTGAAACAAGGCCTGGCTCCCCAGCATCTCATTTAAACATCCGCAGGCCTGGGCTGGCCCGCCAGCTAGAAATGCTCCCTCAAAGAGAAACCAGAGTCTCAAGTGTGTATCTTCCTTCCAAAAGGAGAAGAAAAAGTTGACATTCTAGAAAAATGGGATTGTGTCACTTGGGCATCCACAAGGCCTAACAAGTTCAAGACTTTCTTACGACCTTGGACCTAAAGGACGGTCAGAGTGCAGTGAACATCCTTCCCCAAGAGTACTGAGACGGCGTGCATGAGGTTGGACAGCCTGGAGTTGCTGAACACTGACATTCATGTCATGGGACTTGAGAACCCTCCTAGGGAGTTCTAACTAATAAAAAAAAAGAAAGAAAAAGAAAGCAGGCGCAAAGGCCCAGCTTTCAAACGTGCAACTTGAGGCCTTTCTCCTTGTTACTGTCTTCAGTGGGCCCTCAGGCAGCACCCACTTGCCTTCTGGGGGTCCCACAGAGGAGCCTCCTCATTACATGTAAGATGCTCTGGGCCAGGCTTAACCTCCCCGATGGAGGAGAGAGATGACCCCCCCTTGGGGAGAGAGGGGCTGGCCAGCCTCAGGCTGCAACAGAAAGATACATTCTAACTTCCACTCATTCCTTCATGTTTTTAGATGGAAGCAGTTTTCCCCCTTCTATGGGCATATATAGCAAATGAAATCAAACTTGCTTAAACATATGCATCTAAAAAAGGAACACTATAGGAAAGACATATAAAAGCAAAAGTGCTTTCATATCTGCCCTCAAAATCTCTGGGTCCAGTGTGATTTGCTGGTCTAGGAACAGAAACATCACTTTCTCTACTAGCACTTTTTTTTTTTTTTTTAAGTGAAAAGAAAGTCACAACCCAGAATACCTTCCATGAAGCATCCTGGCTGAGAATTTACTTTTGCTTTGCCGGAGTGTGGCTATTCCACCTGGAAAGCAATGTTGAGACCGAATCAAGGCAGAAATCATGGAGGTCAGTTCCCTCAAAGGTCCCTAGCAGTTCTGCTCACAGAGGGAGTGGTGCCTGAGCATCTACCACGTAGGCAGGTGACCCGGAGGGGTTCCCGGGCTGAGAAAGGCTGGGAGGGGAGGGAAGGGTCCTGGGCAGGGTGAGGCTGGAGGCTGACGGGGGGGCCCTTGGGGGTCACAGGGCCTGGGACTTTGGCCTGGAAGTGAATGGGGCTGCTGCGTGGAAAAGGGATTGGCAAGGAAGCAACACCAGTTAGCAAACTGGTCCAGAGGTGTAGATGGGACACGGCTGGGCTGGTTCCCTAGCTGGCTCAGAGGGGGAGAGGGGAGGGCAGAGGGTCCCGATGAAGGGGTGAGGATGGGAGATGAGGGGAAGGCAGGAATCAGGGAAAACAGGGGGGGCGGGGGCGGGACACAGCACGCGGGGAGCCTCGGGTCCACTTTGGCTTTGGTTAAGGCCACAGTGGAGACAGGAGGGAGGTGGGGTCTCTAAAGCTGGACTCCAGAAACGGAAGGTCAGGGCTGGGAGATACCAACAGCGCGTGATAAGGAGAGAGGAAAGAGAAACAAGAAAGAGCCCAGAACTGAACGCCAGCTTGCAGGGGTGGAGATGAGGAGCATGGTGGAGCAGCCTGGAGCCCCGGGGCCTGCAGAGCAGAGCGGCGGTCACTGGCCACAGTCCCACCCGGAACCCCAGGGCCTCGCCCTGAACCCTCGAGCCGGCCGGGGCCACCAAGGCCAGCACGTTCCTGCGAGCCTACTGCTACTGTACAGAGCAGAGCCCAGCCTGACAGGGCGGCAGAGCTGATGGTCGTCCTCTGTCGTGGCAAAAAGTGAGTGCTCTTAAGTTTTCGGCAAATGAGCTGCCTTCAGCAAACAGCAGCAGCGCGTCCCAGTATTTCTCTTTGTCAGGGGGTTATCTACCATGTTGTTCCCTGACGATGAATGACTCCTTGTCTTTCAGCAGAGAGATAAGAAAGATTGAGAGAGAAGATGATGAAACCGTCTCTAATTAGAAATCAAATCAGGCCCAATCCATTTTTAAAAATGTTACGAAAGGGGACTTTAAACACTAAAAAATACTACTGCTCGCTGCCCCTGCTGGGCATTATGATCACTGCATCCTGGAAAGTCAGTACTAAGATGAGGCAGAGGCCGGGTTAGGGGACCCGGGTCAGGGCGTCAGGTCCGGGGACCCTGAATCCTGCGCCCGCCCTGGGACACCAAGCAGTCCTGGCCAGCAGGCCTCACAGTGAGAGACTGACATCTATCAGATTATAGAGTCTGCTCCCCAAGAGGGAAACCTGTGCAGAGAAAAACAATCTTTCTGTGATTGGACGACTACTCTGGGTCAGGCCCGCGTCAGCTTTTCAGGAGAATGGAGCAGACGGTGCAGGTCCGGTGCAGTCCCCGGGGACCAGGAGCCCTGGGGAGGCTCCGGGGACTGAGACGGCTCAAGGGGTTCCGAGAAAAGCCCCCTCCCTCCCCGTCTCTGCCCCTCCAGACCCTGCACTAATAATTCACGGATTCTTATGTGACTGTTAAGGCCAAAGAGAAGTGACGGGAATCTTCCCGTTTGAGTTACAATCAGAGAGACTTTACGCTAAAATGACTTCCACGACTGACCATCAGGGCTGAAGGCCTTGATCCCCAAATGACTTCCGAGGGGGGGGACACGGCAAACGCACCCTCTCGATATCTCTGCCTCAGCCAAAGACACGGCAGTTTTTGGACTCTACCGAATTCTGAGAAATGCTGCCACAGTTCTTAACTTTAGCTCCATTTATCTGAAGAGCAGAATTTGTATCTTGAAAATATAAACACAGCAACATAAAAAGCTGCCCCCTGTATTATTTTTCCAGGGACTGAAATCACCATGATGGTGACTGCTGGGCAGAGCTGAATGGCACGCTTGTTGAGGTCAAAATCAGCGAGTGAGACACGTGCATGAGACCGTGGTGCTTTCTGGCCATGAACTTAAGTAAAAAGCAAGGCGGTATCTGGTCATGAGGGCGCGATCAGCCATCCGCTGCGGGGTCAGCAGCCACCTCTCTGACGACGGCGGCCTGAGCACGGGGAGCGGAGCCGGGGGCCGTAGGGTGACTGACCTGCTTGGCGCTTCGCTCGAAGACCACGTACTGCTGGCACTGATCCAGCCGCCGCTTTCTCATGGTCCAGTAGTGCAATACCCTGTTCTCCCGCTGGAAGAGCTCGTTCAAGATATCTGAGAGAGCAAGGAGAAAGCCGCACGGCGGTGCCCACCATCAATCAAGACGTCCAGGAAATGACAGTCATTTTTATTTAGAGATTTTTAAATGCAAATGCCACCGCAGATCATCAGATACTGAGACACACTGCCTGCCTGCCTGGTCGTCTTCACACGCCTGTCCACACCGCTCCAGCTCACTCTTAAGACTGAGGTCACTGGACACTGAGCCGGCCTCTAACCCTTCAGGTCGGCAGGGTTGGTGGGGTAGTGACTGCGCCTCCTGTGTGGGAAATCTGAGGATGACTGGGAAAACAACACTGGGAAAACACCAGTATTAGGTATTTTGTCTGAGACCATGGGAATGTTCCTGTGCAAGGAACTTCAGCCGGTCTCCAATTAAAATAAATAAATTAATTTACCAAGAAACAAAAACAAGACACCAGTCAAAATGGTGCAGTAGAAGAAAATGATGGGTGTTAAAAACAAAACCAAACACCAAACTCTTAGGAGAGGGAAGGATGTGAAGTTGAGAAGCACAAAGCTAGAAAGGAAAATGGAAGACAACAATCTGATTACATGAGAATTAAAATTGTCATGATCAAATAAAACAGCGCATATGTAAAAATATTACACAAATTAAGAGCCCAGATAAACTACTGGGAACATATGAGACACAGATCTAATTTATTGACTGGTGAATGGGAAAATTACAAATAACCTGTTGGCAAAACAAGCAAAGCATACAAACATGAAGGCTATGATTTTATGAAATGATAAGTGGCCAACTAAAAATACGGACACACGTTTCATCTCACTCAAGCAGTGGGATCAGTTTTTGCCATTTTCCTGGTGAGGACCACACTGCCCAGGGCTGGAGGGACAGAGGAAACCTGAATATGTATATTACTGAGGGAGGGAAACAGAGTACAGACCCTGCAGATGGCAACTGGGTGTCAGGTAATGACAGCGAGGTGTGCACACCCTTGAACCAGGAGATATCTTTCAGATATGGTGCTCACACAAGCTCCCAACATGACCTATACAGATGCACACACAGAGGAGCTGTTTGCAAAAACTGGCAGCAACGTAAGAGTGCGTCAGTTAGGGGTCAGGTTAAATCAACTACGGAATCAGGATAGTGCTGGACATGAAAAACAACAGAACAGATCTCTAAATTCTGATACAGAGTAAGATTATTACTGAGTGAAAGAAGAAAATTGCAGGGGAATATAGTCCCATTGTGATTAAAAAAAACAAAACAAAACACACCACAAAAACTAAAAAGCCAGATGGGTGAGTTGAAGCTACACATGATTCTATCTGTCTTCATATGTCCATCTACACGCAGAGAAGGGATGCACAAAGGTCCTCACAGAGGTTACCACTGGCAAAGGAATTAGGTAATTTATATAACTATGTACACTTTAAAAATCCTTTACAGTGAGTCTGTTTTTACTCAAGAAGTTTATAAAGTAAACAGATTAAAAAAAAAAAAAACTTTAGAAAAAGATTCCCCGACTGGAATTGCAAATCAAATAAGTGATACCTGGAATATAACTTTATTGGAAAACAACTTTTCCACAAACATTTACCAAGTTCCTCACAGCTGAGTGCTGTGAGAAGCAGGAGCCTGATTCGCATGTACCCACAGCTTGGTGGTTGGTATGGCTATGGTCTCTTTGCTTGAAAAAGTGAACTATTTTAATGAAACTAATTAGGACTGAAACTTGAAGCCTGTCAAAAGATTAACCTACCACTTAAAATGAAATGGCTCTAAGTCTTTTCTAGTCTATTATTTCTGTAGCCTCTGCCCGAGGCAGCGATGAGGCTCAGGTGAGGATGGAAGCTGATAGAACAATGCCCAAGTATCAGTAATTTTAAACAACTCTCATAATTTCCTGAGGACCCATTTCCATGTTATTCCAATTCAACTTGTAGAAATAATTATGATTAAGTTGAAAATGACATATCACTTGGATGCATTTTTATTGCAAAATAGTCAAATCAGAATTCTATGGCTTAAAAATTATCAGTAGCCTTAACTTCCACTTGTCTCAATGCTACCTACAGTTTAGTATAATTGCTCCCAGGTCTTTTTAGATGGATTTCCGAATGTGCATATGTGGTTTTTACAGATTTTTAAACTCAAAGGATACCCATCTACGTAACTTCTGCAATTTGCTTTTATTAATAATGCTTTAAGTATATAAAAGTGGTAACACAGTGTAGCAATGAAATGGGTATATCATTTTTGTGATTTAAACTTTTAAAAATAATTTGCCTATAGATAATTCTGGTTTTCATTTTTCTCCTGATTCATATTTTCACTTACTTTGAATAAAACAGTCAATGTTAATAATATCTTGAACATGTTGCATTTTCTCCCTCAACTTGACTCAATAAATTATAAACCTATGTTTATTAAATATTTTATTACTAAAGTAAGATAACTTACAATTAACTTTAATGATATTAAAAAGACATTTAAAATGAACCCCTAGTGGACATTTAATTTCCAAATACATGGATTTTTTTAAAAGCATCTTTGATATTAATTTCTCATTTTGACATTAGTTTCTCATTTACATGCTCTCTTCTCTGCAATCACCCTCTGTGTTACTTCAGTCTTCTAACTTTATTGAGGCTTTCAATGGCTAAGTCAAAGATCTCTCTTGGCAAATGTCACATTGCACTTGAAAAAATGGGTTCTTTTCAAATATCTTTCGATACTGATTTCTAACATGATTCCACAGTGATAAGAGAACAGACTGTGTATGACTTCAATACCTTTAGACCATGAAATTCCTGCACCTTGTTTTATGTCCCTGGATATATTCCAGTGTCTCCTAGTTTAGTCTGTGGGAACTGGAATAGAATTTTTATCCTACTGTTGTGTGAAAACTGTATAAATCTTAATGGTGCTGAACTGGTGCCCAGTGCTTTTCAGGTCTACTATATCCTTCTACTTCTCTGTATTTTCATTCTATAAATTTTTGAGTTTGATAGTGAAACCCCAACTAAAAGTCTTAATTTACTTAAAAAATTGTAATATACAGTGGAACTATATGTAACTTAGTTCTGTATCTTCCAAGTCTCCTGTAAATGTGTTATCATACTTTAATAATTGAAAAAAAAATTAAAAACACCCGGAAAAATTTAAAAGGTAAAACGAAGCCCTGAGACAAGACTTGAGAGCACGTGCTGTCAGCTCAGCGGCCAGCCGAGCCCTAGCGGACTCACTTTTCACTTGCTGCTCGGGGGCTTTGATGTGGGTCACCATGCCGGGCATGTTCACGCTGTTTCTGTGCAGGTACTTCAGGAAGACGTCCGCGTTCCTCCTGGCAAGCGTGCAAGCCTAAGGGACGAAGCAGAGCAACGTGTTCACAGGGTTCACACAGACATGTCTTTGGTGTATACGACTGACAGGAGCACGGGGCTCTATCATACATCTAAAGTGCCCATCTGGCCAAGGTGCAGTCTGGAGGATACACAGGCTGAATCCCATTGCAATTAAAAAAAACCAACTCAGTCTTGGCGCCCTTGCTCCGATGAAACCAGCTGCTACGATGAGAGCCACCCGTGGCGAGGTCCAGGTGGCCAGGGACTGAAGGTGATCCCTGGGCTGCAGCCAGAGAGGCAGTGAAGCCTTTCTTTCCAATTTAACCTGGAGGTGACTGCATCCCTGGCCAATACTTTGATCGCAGCCCTGGGAGAAACTCCAAGTTGGAGGGCCGGGCTAAACCGTGCTGGGAATTCTGCAGAGAGCAGACAGTATGTATTTTCAGCTCTCGAGTCACGCAGTCTCCATGTCTCAGCTGTACCTACTCAACCTGCCCACTGTAGATGAAGGCAGCCACGGATGACACTGAAATCAATAGGAGTAAATGCATTTAGCTGTCAGGTCTTCGCCTGTAACCCTTTGGTTTAAGCCACTGAACTGCACGGTGGTTTTTTATATGGTTTTACTGTCATAACAGACAACCGATAGCACATGTTTAGAAGTCACAAAAGTAATTTCATTCATGTATTAAAGTTTTATTTAACAGAAAAGAGATAAATATAAATCAAAATGGTTCAGGGGGGAAGAAAATCCCTTAATTATATTAGAAAGGGAAATGTCTTGCCCATTGCCTAGCCCAGATCTAGAGTCAGTCTTTTCCTCAAGGAGCTCCGTGTCCTTGTAAGTGAACAGTACGGAGAGCCCCAACCTCGGCATGAGGGGTGCTCGTCTTCAGTGGGCTGGGCACTGTTCCCAGGCCTTTTCAGGGGCTGCGGTACCTTTTTTTTTTTTAATGAGAAAAATACACCATGAGCCTCTACTGATCAGACTGAAATAAGCTGCCATGTCAAACAGCAAGGGAGTCATGAAGACTGCTAGGATCATTTCAAAAGGACATCTGAGCCAGCCTGACTGGAGGGGGCTCTCAATGGCAGGACAAGTTTAGGATATGAAAAGACAAACACCTGATTTCAATGAGTGACTGAAACACACCAAATGTTAAAATCCACGATGATGCTACAAGAACACATTGATCATATGCAGAAGTTGCCAGGGCAACAGCTCATTATTCTGAAAATCGTCAACAGAGGGAAACAGTCACGCATAAACCCCACATTATTGGGCCAAACTCTATTCTAGCGTAACCACAAAGCTGAGGAGGGAATAATTCCATCTAACCAAGACAGAAGGAATGAAAAGACTACCACCCTGGGGCAACTCCTAATGAAGTGATACCAACACTGGGCGCTAAACCCAGTGGACTAAAGGCTGATGGGGAAGTACACAAGCGATGCGACGGGCTCACTGTGTCTCAGGCACCGATAAACCTTCAGATCACAGAGACAGCAGGAGGAGACGGTGTGTGTCCTGAGGCGATGCCATGGGAAATACACAGCATCACCCATGAGATACCCTAAGCAGGCCCCACACACTCACTCAAACCTGAACCTGATCAAGGCACTCAATCAAGCCAAGAGAAGTGGAGAGAATCCCGGATGCTAAGTGACCCAAGGGTTGCAATCACCAGACCCTGGATGAGGGAAACTCCACAGCATGATAATTCATTTCTTTACTTAATAAATGCTAATAAAAAGGAGGATAGGTTTAGGCTAAGATTTAAGAGACATACCACTTAAATCAATGCATGGACCTTGTCTGAATTTTGATTAAGTCCATGTATAAAACCAAATTCATGGGACAACTGGAAATATTTGAACACTGCTGGATTTTACATAAAATAAGAGTTACTATTACTTTTTCAGATCGGATAATGGTATTGTGGTTACAGAATGGTTTCAGATGGATTCCCCAGTGGCTCAGATGGTAAAGAATCTGCTGGCAGTGCAGGAGACCTGGGTTCAATCCCTGGGTCAGGAAGATCCCCTGGAGTAGGAAATGGCCACCCACTCCAGTATTCTTGCCTGGAGAATTCCATGGACAGAGGAGCCTGGTGGACTATAGTCCATGGGGTCACAAAAGAGCCGGACACAACTAAGCGACTAACACTTTCATATTTTCAATGGTTTTAGAAAGGAAGAATTTGAATGTTTAGACACACACAGAAGTACTTATAAACAAACTGGTATAATACCTAGAATTTAAAATTATCCAGGAAAGATGGGCATACGCCCACATGTGGGTAATTATTGAAGCTGGGTGAGAAGTACACAGGGGTTCATTATCCATTCTCTCAATTTTTGTACACATTTTTAAACTTCTACAATAAAATATTTTAAAATGTCCAACACGTCAAAGACATAATCCTAGATGAACGAAAGAAACTGACCCAGTCTGTGGTGATTTTTGTTGGTAAACTTAAACAGCAGCGACAAGCAGGGGTGGGGGCTTCAGGTCCTATCTGAACAGCTGCAAGAGAACACCCCGGGAAGCCTGATTTACTTAAAAGAAAATCTCTGTGGGAGCAGCTCCTAACAGGTCAGATACTAGGCTTAAGAGTTTTCAAAGAGTTACAATTCATTCTCTCAGACCAAACAATAATAACTCTGTCAGCTCAGAGGATCACCTTCAAAATGAAACAAATGATGAAATGTGACAGGAAATGGTGTCTGCAAGGTCAGGATGTTGGAACCATGAGGAAAACTAAATTCCTTCAAGCAATAATGGACAGTAAACACCACATCTATTTTCACCAGGTCTGAGTGGCCACCAGCAGAACCCAGGAGGCCATCTTCACAAGTGGGAGAATGCAAGGTGGAAAACTGTTCCCAGTTAATGCAACTAAACCTTTCGACCCCTTTATAAAATTTAACTGTTGCGAAGCACACCAGTAACTCCTGTGTGACTGTATATGAAAATAACAAGGCAGGCTTGAAAAGTGACTTATTTAAACCTTCTCAAAGTTAAGACTTCCAGCTGGGCCCGAATGGGATTAAATTTCTCTTGCAGGGAACATTTCCTGAATAAGTATTAGTAACTGGTCCTGTGACCCCAAGGGGTATTCCTGCTCTGTGTCCACTCTACACCGGGCTCACACATGTTCTGAGATGGTCTTTGTTCCTAAAAAGGCTAAATTTCCAAAGAAAGATTATTTTGAGCTCTAAGCATTTTTGTTTCTGCAAATCTATTTCTGCATGTCTGTTCAGAATCACTTGGTATTGGGACTTCTACCCATTCTTTATACACACAGATTTCTGTCTAGCTCTTTCTCTGTGAAAACTAGAGTGAGAGCATAAATCACAACTGAAAAAAGACTTCAAGATCTCTGATCAGTTAACTTGTTGCTGATGCAAAAGTGAAAGGTGATAGTCACTCAGTCATGTCTGACTTTTCGTGAACCCGTGGACTGCAGCCTGCCAGGCTCCTCTGCCCATGGGATTCTCCAGCAAGAATACTGGTGTGGGTAGCCGTTCCCTTTTCAGGGGATCTTCCCGACCCAGGGATCGAACCCGAGTCTCCTACATCACAGGCGGACTTTTTACCGTCTGAGCCACCAGGGGAGCAGGGTCACCCCTTCACTCCCTACAACCGGGGTTGTGCGAGGACGAAGGCATGCAGACACTGCCCAGGCTCAGGTGGACCCTCCTGGGTCTACGAACCCCAGTGGCGAGGCACCAGCACTCAGAAGGCTGGCTCCATACCTTCAGGAACGCTTCCTTCTGTTCGAGGTGCTTGCTGATCATGGGGGTGACGTGGTCTGTCTCAGAGTTGGGGCCCAGCTTGTCAGCCCCTCCGCACCAGTCCTCTTCCCTCTTGTACTCCTGCTCCAGGCTCTCCAGCACACTGCAGACCTGTGGTGGGACGGGGGCCCGGGCTCAGGGGGGCCTCCCGGCAGGGCACAGGAGGGACGACCGGTCCTGGCCCGAGCACCAAGGCCATCGCTGGATGTGGGGACGCACGCGGGCTTTTCAGAACAGGGACAGATGAAAGGGGGTTTTCCTGTCTCTCTCTGCCCTGCTTTAGGATGTGTATTTAAATGAGAGGGAAAGGGATGTCTCTCATCAGATCCTTTCCAACCTGTTACTCCCTGATACCTAAGGAATAATAATCCTAATAAGCAAGAATAATGCTAAATCTACGGGGCTGCTCTTCTCTGCTACGCTGGGACTTGACTGGTCCGGGAATGCCTGGCCAGGCAGGGGCTGAGTCGCCCGAGGGAGCTGGGCTGGGGGACGCGTGGGTAGGGCCCCCACCTGCTCCGAGGTCTTGTAGAAGGCCACGGACGCGTTCACCAGCTTCAGCCGGTCTTCCATCTTCAGCATGAGCTGCTGCCAGTGCGAGGCCACCTTCTCGGCGCAGTCCCGGATCATGTCCATGTCGTAGTGGTTGGCCTGCAGCATGGCCTCGGCCTTCTGCTGGACCTGCAGGGCGCTCTGGTGTGTCTTCTAAGGGGGCAGGGAGAGGGGGAGGCTCATCAGTGGGGGGGTCACGCCACACACTCACGGGGAAGGCTGCAGCTTCTTCTGTTCTACTTGCTTTCACGGAAACATCTCCAGTTAACACAACTTCATTAGGACACTTGGAAAAACACAGCCAACAGGTTAGCAAAAACTTGTTCTTATGCCTACCCACAACTATTTGTGTTTACCCAATGAAGGATGAAACAAATGCCTTAGGAATTTTCCAGCATGGGTCTCGGCTGTGGGGTTTTCAACTTTTGAGAAACAGCAGGAAAAAAACCCTTAGCGGCCAATATTCTAAAAAAAACAAAGCTGCTGAAATGTTCCGAGTATATTGTGTCTATTGATCCTTCTCACAAGAGCAGCCAGAGGCAAACGAATGAGTGGAGAAAAAGGTGGCCTAAGTGAACACTCTTTATTTCACTTGGACCTTAAACTTTGGACTCCAGTCAGAGGTTTCCAAGAACTATTGATTAAAAAAAGAGAGAAAAAGAGACACAGTTTAAAAAAGCCAAGAATGAACCAACTGTGCTCTCTGGAGGTCCGTGCCAGACAACAGATCTATGAAAATCCATTGCGTTTATGAAAATAACAATGGCTCTATGAAAATAACCCACCCCCAGTGCGCGCCCTGCTCTGTCAAGACTGGTCACACAGCAGCGGGCTGTGCCTCCGAGACCAGCAAAATGGACAAAACCTCAGCCGAGACCCCAGCTTGGGCGCCCTGGTGACAAGGTGTTCCTGCCAGGGGCCTGCCAGCCAAGGGACAGCAGGGGGTCGGCTAGAGCCACCCCTCAGCCTCCAGGACCCTTGCAGTGAGGTCGCCCTGGCAGCATCTCCTCCTCCTATGATATACTAACTGCAGGTTTGCTGGCGCCACCGTCTTGGGTTCCATGGTACCCCTCTTGGCTCCCAGGGTCGGGGCCTCGGGAGGGGCCCTAACAGACTGGCCCTGAGGTTGGAGGGGCCGGGCTCCGGGGCCAGGCCTGGGTCCTTACCTCGATGGCATGCTGGAACTGCTCGTGTTCCCTCTGCAGCTGCTCCGCCTCCTGCAACGAGCTGGCCGTGATGAGCCCGGCGTTCAGCATGGACTCTCCGTTGCGGATCCAGCCCAGCACCTGGAACACGACATGGGGGACTCCCAGCAGCGGTCCCTTCCGGGGCGTCTGGGTGCGGTGCAGCGAGACGTGGCTCGAGGGCTGGGCAGTCAAGCGGCTCCTGTCGTCTATGGAGCACTGACTTCCTTGTGACCCTACTGGCAACAGCCTGCTTCCCTTCCGTGGGACCTGAGCGTTTAAGTGCTGCATTCTGAAATTAATTCTGGGGCCTCCCTGGTGGCTCAGTGGTAAAGAATCTGTCTGCCAATGTAGGAGACACATGGGTTCGATCCCTGGGTCCAGGAAAGTTGCACAAGCCTTGGAGCAACTAAGCCCGTGTGCCACAATGACTGAGTCTGTGCTCTAGAGCCTGGGGGCTGCAACAACTGAAGCCGGCGTGTCCGACAGCCTGCGCTCCACAACGAGACAACCCACTGCAATGAGAAGCCTGCACACCGCAGCTAGAGGGCAGCCTCCACTCGCCACAACTAGAGAAAAGCCCAGGCAGCAAGGAAGAACTGGCACAACAAATAAATAAAATTTTACACACACACATATATAAAACCTTAACTTTAAAAAATAAAAGTAAAATTAATTGTCATGCTTAGTTTCAAGTGAGAACTGAAAAACGTTGAACATCTAGAGGAATGATCATTAGTCCATGGGTCAAAACAGACTGCAAATCACACAGCAGAAAATCTACTACTGCAAAGAGTTTCCTGATAATAAAAAATATATGTTATCTTTCACTCTGTTAAGGCCTCAGGAACATGCAGAATAAGCAAACTGCTTGATAAGCTCCTTGATCTCACTAACATATCTTCCACGTTAGTGTCAGTGCTGAGATACTAAAGGATGTCTACTGAAAATCAGGACCGGATCACCAGTCTCAGCATCATGGAACCACAAGTCAGTTCTGACTGTGGAAGCCACAGGGAGTGTGGAAGGTCAATCTGGACAGTCGCTTATGGCAGAAATTGTTGGTTACCTACCCAGTATCTACTTTCCTCATCTTTTATTCAGAGAAATCCCAACTTGTGGAAAAGAGCTTGAGATAAAGCCACTTCTCAGCTACCATTACAGCTTGCTACAGGTATGACATAATTTCATCCATCGAGATCAAAGCAGGAGCTTCTGGGGCATTTGGGGAACATCTCTCTTTACTGATCCAGGTGCTGCCTCTTTCTTGTCATGATTTCCCCTTCCTGATGCCTGGAACGTGGAGATGATGGCTTGGGCTACAATGGTCATTTGGCAGCCATTGGGCAACCATTAAATTCCCTCTAATCAAACTTAACATGTGTTTTTCTGGGCGTCTACCAGAACCCCGGGAATCCATACTTCCATGGTTTCCCTGCTCATGAGATAAAATGTCATGGACATGCTTAATACACACAGGCATGGAATCCCATGGGCACTCAGCCGAAAGCAATCTCTTCCAGATGTCCATTTTATTTTGCCATGCTATCTGGGAGGTGGCAGTATAGAGTTCTGACAACACAAAAAGACCTCAGCCATACACAGCCTGTGGTCTGGGCCAGATTGATAATAGCTTATTTGGGGAGGAAAAAAAAAATCATGTATTTATTCAGCCCAGGAAGCACTGCATTCAGAGTTTCAGGCAAGAGATTACCAATGACAAAACAAGCGAAGAGGAGGTATCTCGCAAGTGATCGACCTGCTGGGTGGCGAAGGCTTTTCTACTGCATAGGCGCACGGCTGCCCAGGCACTGGCTGTTTTCACCCGCTAGCAGCAGCTGCGTCAGGGGGTGTGCCCCACCCTTACATCAGGACGGCTGTGTTCTGATCAGGGCCAGCCTTCCCCAGCGCTCGCACGTCCGAGTCCCCGGAGGGCACTCACGGGGCCCCGTGGGTCGGGCTCGGACCTCCGGCCGTTGGTTTACCTGCTTGACCTCGGCCTGCAGGTGGCGCAGCTGCACGCACTGCTCCAGGTGCTTCCGGTGCTGCTCGGCCGCGAGATCCAGCTCCTGCTGCTTCTCGTGCAGGAACTCCAGCAAGTCCTGGACCCGCGTGGCCATGTCCACATCTCTGTCGCAAAGCAGCTCCACGCCTGTGGACGTTGAAGGGACGCCCTGAGTTCAACCAGCACTTCAACCTGTTCTTAACAGGTGCATGATGTACACGCTGCACCTGGAACCCGACCTACCTACCCTGCGGGCGCCAAGCCATGACTGGGAAGGCCGAAGCCAGCAGAGGGGTTTACGCGCACCTCCGAGCACGCGAGTGTGGCTCAAAGCGTGAGTCTGATGGGGTCCAAAGCCAAATTTAAGGTACAGCTGATCAAACCAATGAGGGAGACCTGGGTTGGGAAGATGCCCTGGAGGAGGGCATGGCAACCCACTCCAGTATTCTTGCCTGGAGAATCCCACGGACAGAGGCGCCTGGTGGGCTCCAGTCCATGGGGTTGCAGAGCTGGACACAACTGAGCGACTAAGCACAATCAAACCAAACTCATTACCTACCTACCTGCTTTTCCCCATGTACTGTTATCTGGTCAAAGTGAGAAGTCCTTTATAAACGAGAGAACATTTGCTCATTTTTGTTATCCACCGCATACCCGTTCAACTCTTGAGAAAGCACTGAATCTGACTTGTGTAACAAGAGTAATGCAGTATGCAGTTATTTGCTAAATTTCTAACACTACAGTCCCCTCCAAGGTTTTGAGCCTATAGTGACATCTGCTGGTACAATGTAAATTAAGAGAAAAAAAAACAAAGGACGTGAAAATATTTTCTTGGGGTTTACTTTTCATTCATGGAGATACAACAATAAATCATTAGTAAAATGAAACTTCATGAGAGTGGAAATAACATGAGAGAATATTAGGGGGGAAGTATACTAGTCAGAATGTTAAACGTGACCATATCACGTGGGTGAGGGCTTCCCTGGTGGCTCAGATGGTAAAGAAACTGCCTGCAACGCAGGAGACCGGGGTTCAGTCCCAGGGTCGGGAAGATCCCCTGGAGAAGGGAATGGCTACCCACTCCAGTACTCTTGCCTGGAGAATCCTTGGACAGAGAAGCCTGGTGGGCTACAGTCCATAGGGTCTCAAAGAGTCGGACACGACTAAATGACTCACATTCACTTTCATGTGGGTGAAAGCAAGCACACGTTTCCATTCAGAGGGCAGGTACGAAACCTGAGTGCCGGGGTGAGTGGCCCGCAGGGCCGCCACCCCGAGGGGAGCCCCGGCCGACGCGGGGCGGGCCGCGCCGCTCACCGGAGGCCTGCACCTCGTTGACGTACTGCAGCAGGTCCTGCCCCTGGTGGATGACGTCGAAGGTCAGGTTGTTCATGGTCAGCGCCTTGTCCGCGTGGTGCTGCAGGCGCTGCTCCGCGATCGTCAGGTCCTCCGTGTCGAAGTCGTTCATTTGCTGAGAAAGCTCATCGTTCCAAGACTCCAGGTCTGAGATGATCTGACAGGGGAAATTATCTGCTTAGGACCAAGATATGAAGAATGAACACCTGCTGCGACACCTCTCAGGGCCGAGTCAGGGAGGAAGAGATGGATGACACTGCGTCAGAGGGACATAGAAGCCAGCAGATAGGGCTCCTACCGGCCAAAGATGGGACAGTTAGACCCTAAAAAAGTGACCACAACTGAATCAAATACACTGACTATAAAGAAGCCCATTCATTCCCAGTGATGTGAGAAGAGAAGAGCTGAAATGCAAAAAGTTACTGAAAAGCTCTTTGGTTCTGATTAAAAGGAATCAAAATTGGTTCTTAAAGGAGAAAACTAATTATTCAAGCATAAAATGATGAAGCAAAGTTTCTCTTTATGGTTAAATCTAGCTATTAAGTGTAGACATAATAAAATTAGAAACCTTCTAACAAAAAATCCTAGTAAAACACCTGTTCAGGTCAAGGTCATCAGTACCTAGTGGACTATCAGAGAGAGGCTGATGGGGCACCTCCCAGGACTGCAGGCTACCCGTAGCACCCCTGAAGAAAGGGGACCAGACAGGACCCAAGCCGCCTTGTGGAAGAGCCAAGCTGGGTCAGCTGTGGAGCTTTGGGAACCAAAAGGAAGCCGAATCTGATCGGGTCTTTCCATCTACCTTCCTTGAAGAAGGAAATGGCAACCCACTCTAGTATTCTTGCCCGGGAAATCCCATGGACAGAGGAACCTGGTGGGCTACACAGTCCATGGGGTTGCAAGAGTCGGACACGACTTTGTGGTTAAACCACCACCACCACCCACCTTGTAAGGTTACAGACAATGCCAAGGAAAGAAACACGGTTAAACAGCCAAGTAGAAATCAAGTGAAAAAAGGCAAAATGTGGGACTCGGTTCTTTTGATACTTGTTACTTCAACGAGTCATCACACAGAAAAAAAGAAAGGGCAGAGAGAGACGGTTCCAGATGAAAACATTAACCACAATGCAGGAGCAGACCCCATGTGCCTCCTCTCTGCCACACTTGTAGAAATCTGAACAGAGGCTGAGTGTTAGCAGGTAACAAAGAAACACTCTTAAATTGGCACGGTGCTTGGGATGTGGTTATGTAAGAAAATGTCCTGCTTTTTAGCGGTACTTACAAAGTCTTTAGGAGTGGAACACTACCAGCTGGTAAAGTTCTTCCTCTAAAACACCACAGCACAACAATATCAAAAGGAAGATACTTGGTAAGGTGGGCAAATTCATCGAATTTAGAGGACAAGTACGTGGAAGGGCATTGTACTATTCTTGCTACTTTTATGTAGGTCTGAAAACTTACATATTTTGTAAAAATAATGACCAAAATTATAAAATCCAGAAAAGAGGCAAAACTTTCTTGTGAACGAATATTATCTCTACATTTCCCATGGATCCTAATTTCTTTTATCCATAGGAGCTGTCGCAAAATGAATTTTAGAATGTGAGAGTTTACACAGAATCCAGCTGTGAGATGGGAAAGAATAAAAATCTTAAGGCTTCTCCAAATTCCTATTGCCCAAATCTCCCTGATCTCTTCTTTTATTACTGGGTCTGCATAATATATGTGTCTATTACATTAATTTATTCAATTATATTCATTTATAAATTAATCCATCTATAATTATATCCACCTGTAAATTAATAATTTTAAATAATGCCAAGTTAGACACAAACCAAGAAATCACAAGGAAAATATTTTTTAAAAGGAAAAAAAAAAATTTAATGTAACTTTAACCTTGATCTCTACTCTAAGGGGAATTTTCTTTCTTAACATTTGTTTGCTTTCTGACCCTGAGGGAGAAGAATTAGGTGTGGTGATGAGTTACAGACTCAGCCACAGTGCCTCACAAGGACAACGTCAGGCTCAGAAAACACTCAAGAAATGGACGAAAAACAAAGATCAATGTGCTAAAAGCAGCAGGATTCAAAAACACTCACTGAGCACAAGGAAACCCTGGTGACGGCCAGGATCAAGGAGCATCAGGAAAAATCCTGTCCCCACGCTTGGCAATGCGGCTTGTTAATCACCATGCAAGCCAAGAAAATAAACCTGTGGCAAACAAAAAGCTCAAGAAAGCACAAGGCTTTTTTGAACAGGATTCTTTGAAGAAATAACTCAGATACCATTTTTTTTTAAATGTATCCCTGAATTTTTAGAGAGTCTTCTTTCTAAATGTACAGAGAGTTATGACTGCTTTCTGTAACTATCACAGGATGCTGGCATATGGCTTTGGATGTTCTTTTCATATCAATGGAGCAGATTTTATTTGGGCTATCTGGAGACTGAAATCCCAATATTCTAAGCCACAGGAAACCCTGCTTCACTTTTGAGAGATGGAAAGGCTATTTCAATTGAAATACAACTGATACAGGGGATTTTTAAACACTGACCAGGTACCATGAATTTCTACCATGAAGATCACATCATGCCTCCCACGGGCAGTCAGACGGGGCACTTTCCCAGACAAGAGAGGAAATCCCAGCAAAGCCTAATGTGCTCAGGTTTTCACATTTTCAGGATTACTCCAGAGAAACAGAAGGCTCTCAGGCTATGACATTTTAAAAGCTTTTAGACTCTCTTTAGCTGGTCTGTGACTGAACTGTAGGCTTAATTTCTCAGCTTAGGAAAACACTTATCCCTTGCTGAGCACGCTGGCTTTATTTGAGGCCATGCAGAACTCTGTGGCTATTGTGGGGGGGGAAAATGCATGTTTTTGGTTCCTGATCTACATTTTAGGTTTTTGGTTCCTGATCTACTATGAACAAAATTAGTGGAGGTGATGGAATTCTGTCTGAGCTATTTCAAATCCTAAAAGATGAAGCTCTTAAAGTGCTGCACTCAATATGCCAGCAAATTTGGAAAACTCGGCAGTGGCCACAGGACTGGAAAAGGTCAGTTTTCATTCCAATCCCAAAGAAGGGCAATGCCAAAGAAAGTTCAGACTATCATATAGCTGCACTCATCTCACACGCTAGCAAGATAATGCTCAAAATCCTCCAAGCTAGGCTTCAACAATTCAACGAGAACTTCCAGATGTACAAGCTGGATTTAGAAAAGGCAGAGGAACCAGAGATCAAATTGCCAACATCTGCTGGATCATCAAAAAAACAAGAGAGTTCCAAAAAACATCTACTTTGGCTTCACTACTTTGGCTTCACCCTTTGACTGGGTGGATCACAACAAACTGTGGAAAATTCTTCAAGGGATGGGAATACCAGACCACCTGACCTGCCTCCTGAGAAATCTGCATGCAGGTTAAGAAGCAACAGTTAAAACTGGACATGGAACAACAGACTGGTTCCAAATTGGGAAAGGCTGTATAGTGTCACCCTGCTTATTTAACTTATATGCAGAGTACATCATGCAAAATGCTGGGCTGGATGAACCAAGTACCAGCTGGAATCAAGATTGCAGGGAAGAATATCAATAGCCTCAGATATGCAGATGACACCACCCTTAGGGCAAAAAGCGAAGAGGAAATGGAAAGCCTCTTGATGAAGGTGAAAGAAGAGAGTGAAAATGCTGTGGGGGCGGGGGGGTTGGGACAGAGGGGCTGGGATGGGAGCAGGGATGGGAGACAGGGATGGGTTGGGCAGGGACGGGGCTGGCCCACCTCAGCTGCTGGATCAGGTCTTCGCCTTCCTTGATGACGTTCACAGTCACCTGCAGGGTGGTCTGCTGCTGCTGGCCGAAGCGCTTGCTGAGGTCCTGCACGGCCTCCACGGACTCGGCGTACACGTCGTCCAGCAGCTCCTTCTGCAGCTCCTCCAGCCATGTCCACAGCTGCGGGGACAGCGGCGTGAGGGGCCCTGCCCTGCGGCCCGGGGGAGCGGACCGGGGGCAGCTGCTCCCAGGGAGCCAGAAGGGAGGCGGGCGGCAGGGGAGGCACCCCACACGGCCAGCTGGCCAGCGGAACATAGAGCAGGACGTGAGGTGAAAGAACAAACAGGCAGCCGGCCCGGGGGGACTGTCACAGAGGAGAGAAAGGAAGGGCGGGGGTTCTCCCGGTCCCTCCCGACACAACCACGCTCAAGAGGAAATGGAAAGCCTCTTGATGAAGGTGAAAGAAGAGAGTGAAAATGCTGCCTTAACACTCAACATTCAGAAAAAAAAGATCATGGCACCTGGTCCCATCACTTCATGGCAAATGGATGTGGAAACAAAGGAAATAGTGACAGACTCTATTTTCTTGGGTTCCAAAACCACTGTAGATGGTGACTGCAGCCATGAAATTAAAAGACGTTTGCTCCTTGGAAGAAAAAACAAACCTAGACAGCATATTAAAAATCAGAGAAATTACTTTGCCAACAAAGGTCCATATAATTAAAGCTATGGTTTTTCCAGCAGTCATGTATGGATGTGAGAGTTGGACCATAAAGAAAGCTGAGCGCTGAAGAATTGATGCTTTTGAACTGTGGTGATGTTGGAGAAGACTCTTGAGAGTCCCTTGGACTGCAAGGAGATCAAATCAGTCAATATTAAAGTAAATCAATTCTGAATATTCAATGGAAAGACTGATGTTGAAGCTCCACTACTTTGGCCACCTGATGCTAAGAGCTGACTCGTTAGATAAGACCCTGAAGCTGGGAAAGACTGAAGTCAGGAGGAGAAGGGGGCAACAGAGGATGAGATGGTTGGATAGCATCACTGACTCAATGGACATGAGTCTGAGCAAGCTTCAGTGCTGCACCCTGACCCTGGCCATGGCTGGATGCGATGAGCTGAGACCAGTGCATCTCTTCTCTCTGCGGCTCCATGTGGATGGGAAACTCAAGACCAGAGCCCTTGAGCAGGTCTGACCAGGCATCATGGGCAGAGTTTAACTCCTTGTTATCACTGGTTAACACTCAAGAAGGCCTTTCTTTAATGCAATAAAAAGGTTGATGGAAGTTCAGACAAGCAGCCATGAAATGCCCCATGAGAGGCTCACATACCAAACTGCCACTTGGGGCTGGGACGAGTCCCAGAACCACTTCAGGCAGAGGGTCTGCTCAACTGAGGGAGCCCTGCACCCCGCTGCCTTCAGCAGTACCCTGGGTCTGTGCCCCATTGACCTCACAGCTCTGTTCTAAATGCAAGTCAAGTGACAAGAGAGCGCAGTCTGCAGACCCTGGCCGGCGGGCACGGGCCACCTGGGATGCCTGGAGGTACCTGGACAGGCAGCAGGTCCTTGCCAGCAGCTCATGAAGCCCTCGGGCTCCAGGAAGCCAGCCTCACCAGGGAGTTCTGGTTCCTTTCATCCTGTTCCACACACAGATTCAGCACCATCCAGTGATACTGACTTTCTGCTTGCACTTCATCAAGTTCAAAAACAAAGTCTTGCCTAGCAGAGAATTAAGAAACACCCTCTTGCTGATGAAGAAACGAAATCTGTCCTTCTCTCTCCTAGTCATGTATAAGGTGCAATAGTTGATTTTTAGGTAAGAAATTAACAGGCAACCTGAGCTTATGTGGGGGGAAAAATGGGCGGGCGAGGGTGTTTCCTGGGACCTAAAACAGCATTACTGCAGGCTCAGGGAGCACTCAGTCTCGGAGAGAGAGCAAGAGGACAGGGTGGGGAGGAGGACCATCGCTGCCCTGAGCCTCTGCCTCCAGGACGAGGGGGCGGCTGTGCGACGGCCCGATCCGGGAGAACAGCCGAGGGCACAAGGTGGCCCTGTCTGCATTAGCCCTGCCTGGGCTCCACCCTCACAGCTCGCTCACTTGGCTCTCCTGCCATGTGGTGTCTGCCGGCTGCCCACCTGCCTCCCCCAGAGCCGAGCCCCCACCCTGACTTCTGGGGAGCCGAGCAGGAGAGGGGGCCACTCTGTCCCTCCTCGTCCTCCTCCTGGTGCAGACGGAAAGGGGGGCAGTGCATTGGGTGAGGACATGGAGCCTGGACGGGGCGGGGCCTGGACGGAGGTGGGCAGTGGGCGAGGATGCGGGGAGGGGCCCGGTAGGAGGTGGGGCGTGGCCTGGATTAAAGGTGGGGGGGCGGGGAAACAACAGGGGCGAGGGCGGGGCCCGGACGCGGGCGGGGCCCGCGGGACACTCACGTCGATGGCATCCCGCTCGAAGATGCGCAGCTGCAGGAAGAGCTCCAGCTTGATCTTGCGCTCCTGGAAGAGCTCCTCCATCTGCGCCTGGGCCTCGTCCAGCTGTTGCAGCACCGTCTCGATGTGGCTGATGGAGCTGTTGTGCGGCGTCTTGTTGCTAGAGATGGCTGAGTCCCTGCGAAGGGGCATGGGGGTGCAAACAGGAATTGGAAGGGAACGTCTCCCTGTCAGTGCCAGAGGGCCGGGCCCGGGGAAGGAGCCGGCAGGAAGCGGGGCTGCGGCTCTCAGAAAAGAAGCCGCCCGTCCCGCCCAACCACCCCGGGCTTCCCTGGGGCCCAGGACGCGCCGAGGAACACCTCCTGCTCCTCCTCACAGCCCCTCTGAGAAGCAGGCGTCCAGCCACCACACAAATCATCCCAGGGAACTTCATCTTCAGCCCCCTTCCTCCGTAAGTGGAGAAGAAATAATTCCTATTTGCTACAGAGGACGATATGGCTGAATGGCATCCCCGACTCAATGGACATGAGTTTGAGCAAACGCAGGGAGATGGTGGACAGGGAGGCCTGGTGTGCTGCAGTCCATGGCATCGCAATGAGTTAGACACGACTGAGCGACTGACCACCACCAACAATTTACCACAAACGGAAGCGCCAGGTCAGCTGTGAGCATTTCCCTGTGAAGCAGCTCGCTGAGCCTTCATCAAGGAAGGACTGCCTGACTCTCAGCAAAGCCAGCATCGCGGGAAGACGTCAGTGACCGTTAGATAAGCTCACCCTAAGTGATCCAGCAGGGGGTCCACATCAAGGAAGGTGGCCCAGCCCCAGCCTGCCTCCTGTCTTCCCCCCATGAGCAGCACCTGAGTGTCACCCGAGGACGGGCCTGCCTGAGCCTGGACTTGGACGGGAGGGACGCCCACCACACTCTGGAAAACTAGCACGCTCTGGGCCCCCAGGACGCAGTCCTGGGAGGTTTAGATTCATCTGGTTTGTAAAGAAATTTCAGTCAGTAATAGGTAGGTGTTAAAAGGAAATATTAATAAGATCTGAATTCTGGGGAAGTTTATTGTGTGTTAGTTGCTCAGTCATGTCCTACTCTTTGCGACCCCGTGGACGGTAGCCCGCCAGACTCCTCTGTCCATGGGATTCTCCAGGCAAGAATACTGGAGTGGGTTGCCATTTCCTCCTCTAAGGGATCTTCCTGACTCAGGGATTGAACCCGTCTCCTGAGTCTGCTATATAGCAGGTGGTTTCTTTACCAGTGTGCTTATAAGAAAAAAAAAAGAACTACAGGTATCCCCTATTTTCNGCCAGCTGGCCAGCGGAACATAGAGCAGGACGTGAGGTGAAAGAACAAACAGGCAGCCGGCCCGGGGGGACTGTCACAGAGGAGAGAAAGGAAGGGCGGGGGTTCTCCCGGTCCCTCCCGACACAACCACGCTCAAGAGGAAATGGAAAAGACCCTCCGATGGCCGGAACCTCTGCTAAATGGAACCGGCATCCTTCCAGGCGCCTTCTGACTCTTCTTTAGCAGACGGGCGGCTTTCTTTTCAGCCAGAGCATTACAATCTATGATCAGTTACTAAGCTGCAGTTCAGACGGGGGGCTTTACATCCCTCAGAAAAGGAGGAAGCATCCAATGTGGTGCAATCAACCCGTCTCCATGCCTGGCAGGAGACTCGGGCGTGACTGTGCCAGGTCTCTGCTCCCAGCCCAGGCCTCAGCCAACATGGCCACGGCTCAGTCCTCCCACGAGCGGTGTGCGGACCGCGAACACGTGGTCACCGTCACTGCCAGGACCACCACCAAGGTGTCCGTGGACCCAGGTGGGTAAAGACTACTCGGGACAAGGGCGGCCCCAAGCCTGGGGGGGACACAGCATCTCAACCGCTCCCAAGAATCCCACTGCCTCCTCCGAATTCCTGGGGAGTCGTTCAGTGAGCTGCAAAGACAATTAATGAAACAGAGCAGGCCCTGGTGGCTTGGAAGGGGGTTTCGTGTGCAGAGAAAATGCTCCCTGCTGATGGAACAGTCACCTCCTATGTCTTGTGCTAAGTCGCTTCAGTCGTGTCCAACTCTTTGCCCCTTAGGACTGTAGCCCACCAGGCTCCTCCAGGCAAGAATACTGGATTGGGTTGCCATGCCCTCCTCCAGGGGATCTTCCCCACCCAGGGATTGAACCTGAGTTTCTTATGTCTCCTGAACTGGCAGGCGGGTTTTATACCACTAGCACCACCTGGGTGGCTACCAGTGGGTGTCTTACAAGTCCCTTACAGATGGCTGTCTGGGCGGCGGGGAGAGGTTTGCCCCTACCCTGCCCTGCCACGCAGGCCTCTTGGCAGAGACAGCACCACAGCTTTACTGAGGCCTCACTGACACACAAGAAACCGCAGAACTTAAAATACAGGAAGTCTGCTACATGCGAATGAGTCCTGCTGAGAGCACGTTCTTATGGTCAGTTTGTCCAACAAAGTCAGCCTAGGCGCCCAACTGACACAACCAGCTACACAGTCCTGCAGTCTAACAGGTTTGTAATACTTTCCACACAAATAATTTAAAAAAATACATTTTTAATCTTACAGTGCAGTCCTATGAAAGGTGCAGTGTTAACAGTACAGCAGCTGGCACACGGGCTGGCAAGCGGGCTGGCAGCAAGCGAGCCGGCAAGAAGAGCCACTGGCTGGGAGAGGCAGAGGAGGTGGGAGACGGTAGAGCTGAAGGATCATCAGCGACGGGAGACGGAGGGCCAGCTGCAACGTCACTCACGCCTCACGTGATGGAGTGCACACACTCATCTTTCAAAGTTCCAAACTTGGAGGTTCGCACGCAGGGGACTTAGTATATACAGGTTCGCATGCAGGGGACTTACTCTATACGATTTGATGAGCTCTGACACATGCAGATCCGTGCAAAGAGCAATGCAACTATGACAGTGATGCTCCATGACCCCAAGAGTCTTCCCGAGGCCCTGGGGAACCCCTCTTCCCTCTCTGCTCCCCGCTCCTGGACAACCGCCAGCCTGCTCTCTGCCACTGCAGATTAGCTTCCATTTTCTAAAAGAAATTCTATTCACAGAATCATGTTGTAGGTACTCATTTCTTCGGTCTGGCTTTTTTCAGCATCGTTCTTTTGAGACTTCATACATACCACTGTGTGGATCAACAGTTCTTTCCTTTTCACTATTGAGCGGTATTCCACTCTATGCTGATGACCACCTTATCGGCTCAGATGGTGATGACATCTGGGCTGTTTCCAGTGTGGGGCACACTGGTGTCTAGCCTCTGTAGGCACCTGCGCTTCCCTTTCTTGTAGGTACATGTCCAGGCGTAGAATGGCTGGATCACATGGTAGGTGTGGGCCAAACTGTTTTCCAAAGTGGCTCATTTCACATCTACCCACTGCAGTATGCGAGTGCTCCAATCCTGCCACACCCTCACCAATACCCGATGTGGTTGGTCTTTTTAATTGGAGACATTCGAAATGAGTGGTTTCTTATTACAGCTTTAATTAGCCATTCCCTAATGACTAGTGAAGGCAAGTCCAAGCTAACCTTGTAAGAGTTCTTTTGTTGCTAAACATGCATTTAGTTGAAAACAGCACTGGCAGTTGGCTCTTTAAGTAGGCCAATTAAATTTAAAAATAAGGGAAGTGCTGGCAAAGGACTTACTTTTAGTCAAGTACCTGGGGCCCTAAAGAGTTAATTTTACTAAAAATGTTAAAATATCAACCTGTGTCATATTATTTACTCATTTTTGTAAGATACCAAATTTCATACAATCCAAGGATTTTAAGTAAAGGCATTCCAGAGAAAGGCTGGTCCAACTCTGTGATCTTACAGATTGAAGGAGAGAGGCCCCCAGGTGATAAAGTAACCTGCACACATGGGCAAGTCCATTAGCAGTGACAACTCAGGAGTCGAGTGTCAGAAGGAGGCCCCCAGACCTGGTCACACTTCACACTGATACTGCATTTCAACGCGAAAAACGCCACTCATCAACAGACCGAATGTGGACTGATTTTCTGCACCATCTATAAAGAGTAACATACTCTAGTTTATTTTTTTCCTCTAAATTCTCATGAGCATGGCTGCTGTAGTTATAAATGGTAGGATGGACGAAAGCACTGTGACCAGAAGAAATCTCTTAATTTGCTTTAATGTTTCCCATGAAAAACGTTCTATGGGAAGGTGATGACTTCACAATATATCCAAGTATTAAATCATTATGCTGTATACCTGAAACTAATATGTGTCGGTTATATCTCAACAGAAAAGTGTTTTAGCCACAAATAATTTATAAAAACATTTTTCTCATAATATTGAATAACAATTACGAGTGTGGGTTCTGAAGCCAGATTGTCTTGAGTTCCAATCCTGACTTAACATTTCCCAGGGTGTGACTTGGACAACTTAACCTGGATAGATCTATGTCTTGGAATTCTCATCCAGAAAATGAACAGGGTAATAACAATGCCTACCTCGGGGAGTTACTGAGAAGATTCAACAAGATGATATATATTTCTTCAAAATAAGTCAATGTCAGCCACCATTATAGTTTTATTCTTACAAGAAAAATTCTGATAATAAGAACTAGTTTTTGCAACTGTTTTTCCTATGGATATTTTTCAAAACATGCCCAAGTTCTGACCAGTTGTTCAAAATAAGTCACTTATTCTGGTAAATTTAACACTGCACCACATTTACATCTTTTTACCCCTAAAAACTCCAACACTTTAGCCACCTGACGTGAACAGCTGACCCACTGGAAAAGACCCTGATGCTGAGAAAGATTGAGGGCAATCCAGAAAGAACTAATTTTTCCCTCGACACCCTGGACCTCTTGACATGCATCGGGTGGAGGGTGCACACCGCCCTGGCTGTGGGGCCAGTGAAGGGCCCAGGTGTGGAGCAGACCACCAGGGTCCATCCTGGGTTCACACAGTTGAAAACGGAAAAATAACCTAGGTAGAAGAACCAGCTACACATAAATCCACAACTGAAACACCCAAAGATCCTTTACCCCTTTAGAATTCGTCTCTTTGGTCCTACAGGAAATTCGTTTTGGAAGATAAAAGTCTCAGAGAGAGGTCATTTCTGATGCCAGCTGATGATGAACTCAGACGTATCATAATAATACATGATTCAGGCAATGTCTATTTTTAAGGTTTCAAAGTGGTACCTATTATGCCTAAAATAACCTCTGAATAAAGCAATGAGAAAGAGTCTCTAGGATACCTGTGAAACTTTTCACCACAGATTTCCTAAGAGTTAAAGCCTGCACTTCTGTGCATGCTGCTAATTTACAATAAAAAGATAAACCTCTGCCCCACAGAGAGAGGAGCTGCAGTCGACCCACGTTCTCAGCAGCACAGATTCTGCCTCTAAGAGAACCTGGTCTGCAGCCAGAGTTAGGCAACGCTGCCTCCTAGAGGCCATCTGAGGTGTGACCAGGCATTCCATGCGGAGAACGTCAACCCGGGCCCAGAATGGGGTGCAGGGTGTACAGACGTGGTCACGGGCCAGGTTCAGGAAGACAGGTGGGATTTTTTGGGGAAAAGCCAGTGCTAAGATGCGGGACAGACTGGTCCTGGGTCCAGCATCCAGCTGGGTTGAACCCCCGTGTGCCCCCTATTCCAGCCCCTTCACCCTCCACACTGTGCTGGGTGAAGCCTAAAGGAATGAAGGCTCTGCTGGGAGAAAGTCCCCTGAAAAAGCCCCTTCTTTGTTAGCGAGGCTCCTAGAAGTGCTCACTGGGGTGGGGAGCCAGGCAAGGACTGAGTCTCTAACTGGGTCAGTGGGGACAGAGGTAAGATGGGAGCCCTGAGACTTGGGGGCTGCTCCATCTGCAGCCTCGCCCAGGTGGAGACTACAAGCCTGGGCCATTTGGAGGATCAGAGGAGGGTCCGTATCGCCTGCGTACCTTGGGCAAGTCCTTGGCCTTCTCTGCCTTCGGTTTCCTCCTCTATGAAATGGGAGCATTTTACCACGTGTGCCTCCCCTAAGAGGCAAAGCCAGTTTGGGAATCAAGAGAAAAGACCACAGAGGTGTGGCAGTGCTCAATCCCCACAAGCACCTGGTGAACAGAAGCCGCCACCACTGGTGTCCATGTCCCTGCTCTTGTTTGTGACAGTCATTCGGGTACCAGTGGGAATGGGCGGGGTGCAGGGCCAGTGTGGGAACCGTAAGAGCTGGCAGCAGAAGTGGGTGGTTTCGATGGCAATTTACAGGCGGAATTGCAGAGGGTGCCTGCCACGCACAGAAAAACACGATTCTGTTTCTGGCAGAGGAAGCCCGGATCAAAGCGGAACTGTTCCAGCTATGAACAGCATGTTCCTCAGTCTGAAATGAGCAACTGGGTCTTTTGGGGGCACGTGCCTGTCGCCTGACTGAGGAGGAAGGGTTTCAGGAGCACCTGGTTATTCTTGAAAGTGTCAGTTGCTCAGTCATGTCCGACTCTGCAACCCCCCATGTACTGCAGCCCACCAGGCTCCTCTGTCCAAGGGATTTTCCAGGCAAGAACACTGGAATGCGTTGGGTTGCCTCTTCCTTCTCCAGGGGATTTTATTAGTTCCCTGACCAGGGATCGAACCCACATCTCCTGTACTGGCAGGTGGGCAATGGACCACCGGGGAACTCCCCTGCCTATTCTGAGTCGAAGCAGACTCATAAATTAAAACCCATGAATGACATTTCTGTGATAGATCTGGACTTATGCTTGCTGGGATCTTCTCAGAACCTATTTTCTTATCTGACGTATCTGGCAGACCCTAGTCTAGACTTCGATAAGCTTGTCCTCCACACCAATCCACCCATTCGCAGGCTTCCTGCGTGGGCAGAGGTCTGCAGGGCAAACATCCTCCAGCCCTGTTGAGGTCATGCAGTAACCGGCACCCCACCGCCAGCCTCACCAGCCAGGGCTTTTGATACAGCCACAATGATTTCTGCTTCAGCACCAAGCCTGTCCTGGCTTTATGGCAATCTGCCCATTTTCAAGATAAATCACTCGAAACACAAGAAAGCCAAGTTTTCAGGCTGGCTGGCTTTGGATGCATAATCTCTCCAGATGTCCCAGACAGACATAAAAGTTCTGACTAGGTCAGTGGAGTCAGGTTAAAGACACGCTGACCGCAGAGTCTGCTCCCCTATAAAGGTGACACCAGGGATTAAAACAATCTGTCTGTGCAGCGTGGGGTTCACCTGGATGACTGGTCTCCATCTCCTACACCTCCTTCGTCAACAAGTTGATTTGAATATGGGCCTGGGCTGGAAATGACTTCCTTTATTCACATGCCGGGTATAGGTTACAAAAGAAAGTCACAAACCCTTTCTTCTAGGCAAGGTCTCCTCGGAGACCAGTTTGGGAGGATAAGGACAGTCTTGACTGTGTGTTAACTGACACTCTAAATCAATCCTTTTTCACAGTCATTCACCCCACATTTTTCTGTCTTGTGTACAAATTAAATGTCAAATGCTCACTGATTCCACTGTACTGTTGTTTAGTTGCTAAGTTGTGTCCGACTCTTTGCAACCACATGGACTGTAGCCCACCAGGCTCCTCTGTCCATGGGATTCTCCAGGGAAGAATACTGGAGTGGGTTGCCATCTCGTTCTCCAGGGATCTTCCCAAACCAGGGATGGAACCCGTCTCCTTCCTTGGCAGGAGGATTCTTTACAACTGAGCCACCAGGGAAGCCCAGTTCCATTGTATACTCTTCATCAAAACAGAAACCTATTAAAGAATGAAATAAAGTTCACATTGCATAACTTGTTTATTCGGCTTCACCGTTTTAAAAGGTAGTTTATAAACTGTCGTTTCTAGAACTCTGCTTAGGACTGACCCCAACCCGAGTAATATGTGAAATCTACCATCTTAAAAAGGCACAAGTGCATTTTCTGCTTTCTAGCATCTCTTCCTTTTCGTTCAGTTCCTCAGAGATCAATAGACCCAATCTGGTGATCTAATTATCAGGTTCTTTTACTACCCAGGGATCTGACCTGCCTTGGAATAGAGATTCAAAATCATTTAGAAGAAATAAATTTGCTCTTAGAAAATCTTCACCCATTTTGGTTATTAACTTGGACCTATCAACATCACTGGTCCCAAGAAGAAAGTCCAAACCTTTCTCAATCTTGTGTTTCTAAATTTTGTGCTTTAGAAAAAGGAAGAGAAAACAAACAACAACAAAACCAAAAAAGCCTTTTCAGTCCTCCCAGGCCCAGCTTACCTAGGGCTTTAAGCTTTCTGACAAAACGCTGCTGGGGATCAATCTTTCTAATACTTATTCAATAAGAACAATGATCAGAAAAAAAAAAAAGAACAATGATCAGTAACAGCACATGACGGAAATACACATGAACAGTTTTTCTCAATCACAGCCCTATCACATTTAGTTTATGAAGCTGAGTACTGAAATAAGAAAGTAAGAATAGTAAATATGTTCTCTATAAAAAAGTCTGACAAGTAAACAAGATTATATACACATCCATTTTCATTTGGGAGAAGGCAATGGCACCCCACTCCAGTCCTCTTGCCTGGAAAATCCCATGGATGGAGGAGCCTGGTAGGCTGCAGTTCATGGGGTCGCTAAGAGTCAGACACGACTGAGCGGCTTCACTTTCACTTTTCACTTTCATGCATTGGAGAAGGCAATGGCAACCTACTCTAGAACTCTTCTTGCCTGGAGAATCCCAGGGACGGGGGAGCCTCGTGGGCTGCTGTCTATGGGGTCGCACAGAGTCGGACACAACTGAAGTGACTTAGCAGCAGCAGCATTTTCATTTGGGCATTTTGGGACTGATAATGTTGTATTCCCTGAACTGCTGTACCAGTGGCTCACCTCTTAGTTGCACGAACTTAGGCCAATCTACAAACAGCCAATGAAAGCAGACATCTGCGACTCTGCATGTAGAAGTGACACTTAAACAAGAAATGCTACAATCTGGAGTCAGTGCACAGACATACGATGTTGTAATAAGGAATTACCATGAAAATCAGAGAGTATATTATTAATTCATTCATTTAATAATCATTTACTGACTACTTTGTGTCATGTATATTAAGAGTTGCCTACAGTTTCACACATTAACTCTAGTTTCTCTCTTGATCTAAAAATTTTCTCTAGCTGAAAATACTGGGATGATAAGGAGAAACAGAAAATTCATGAATTTAAACCAGCTTTAAAGTGAAAAAAGTGAAGTCGCTCAGTTGTGTCCGACTCTTTGTGACCCCATGGACTGTAGCCCACCAGGCTCCTCCGTCCATGGAATTTTCCGGGCAAGAGTACTGGAGTGGTTGCCATTTTCTTCTCCGGCGGATATTCCTGACCCTGGGATCGAACCTGGGTCTCCCACATTCCAGGCAGATGCTTTACCATCTGAGCCACTATGCCCTGAGAGAGAAACAAGCTCTAAACCATTCTCTAACAAAAATAATGCTTTAACATGAATTATACTAAACTGAAAAGAGAATTTTCCTTTTAGATAATAATATCCCTCTTTCCCCACTGGCCAAAACCCAAAGGTTTTCCACATATTTATTGGGGGGTGGGTGGGAATTTCATTTATTTTTTGTAGCTTTGGCTGGAAACAAAAGTAGTGAGTGATGTGAACAAAGAAAGCCACAAGTGCCAACGTGATGGAGCCAGGAGCAAAGGCCGCCCGGAGCCGCTGCCTCTGCCGCGGGCACTGCCGTGGATGCAGCTGGGGAAGAACACGGGGCAAGGTTCTGCTGGCCGGCCCGGGGGCCAGAGCGGGGCGCCGGCCGGCCCGGGGGCCAGAGCGAGGCGGGTCAGAGTGAGGCGCCGGCCGGCCCGGGGCCGGAGTGAGGAGTGAGGCGCCGGCCGGCCCGGGGGCCGGAGTGAGGCGGGTCAGAGTGAGGCGCCGGCCGGCCCGGGGGCCGGAGTGAGGCGCCGACTCTGAGGGAGGGCGGCAGAGGCGGGCCCAGCAGTTCCTGCTGCTCAAAGACGAGTGAGGGAGGCCTCAGGGTCACACCCAGGCGGTCGGAGCTCTGCGTCTTCTATTTACATCATCTGTCGCGTAACAAGACGGGGACGAGGAAAAACACAGACCTTCACTGGCAGTTAGGACCTGGAGGGTGTGTGGCCCATAACCCTCAGAAATGCTGTTATTCCCAATTCTACAGAGGGAGCTGAGGCACCAGAGCAGTCTGCCCCACGTTACTCAGCCAGCTAAGTCAGGGAATGTGCCACGCTTCATATACTTTCTTCATTATTTTAACAAAGATTATATTTTTACAGAAGGAAATCAGAAATGATTAGAACTACTGTGGGGGATAGTCCCACCCAGTGGAAGACCACCTACTTTAAAAAAAGAAGAAAAAAAAAAACCCAGATCCCACAACCTATGTGAAGACATAGTTGATAAACCAATAGGGAGCAACTAAACGTCCAAAATTAAAATCTAAGGCTAAATGCAAGGGCTAATGATGCAGTAGATGGTTCTAGACCCCAAGTGTCCCATTGCTTGTGGACATTCACCTGTTTATTTGTATCTGTATCAGATAAATAAACTAAAGAAATCAAACATTTAAGAGCATACTTAGAGAGTTCATCTAAGGAACTGAATATTAACATAAAAATTAAAAAGATTTCATCATATAAGCTAAACTTTACTTCCTAAAACATTCTGCATTTGATCTTAACCTTTCACATTGACAAGTATATCAAAGCAATCCTGGACCTCTGTGATGTTAATAAGCTACAGACCAATCGTAAATTGCTACTGGGAGTGTAAAATGGTACAGTCACTCTGGAAAAGTTTAGCACTTTCTTTCAGAACAGTATGTGTTTAACCAAAGGACCCAGCGATTGTACTCTTGGGCAATTACCCCAAAGACATGAAAACTTCAGTTCATGCAAAAACCTGCACAAGAAGGTCTACAGCTTCTCTTCTTGGAAAAGTCAAAATAACCTAATTGTTCTTTAAGAGGTAAATTGTTCAGAAACTGTGATGTATCCGGACAATGAGAGGCTACTCAGAGACAAAGTACTGGCACGTGAAACGACAGGGAAGGGTCCCACGGGGAACTGTGCCTAGTAGAAAAAGCTAATCTCAAAAAGGTACCCATGGTATGATTCCATCTATACATTTGTGACATAAAATTATAGAGATGGAGAACGACAGATGAGCTGTTGCCAGGGGTGAGGGGTGGGCATGGTTGTAAAGAGGCGGGACAGAGGAGTCTACTGGTGATGGGGTGATTCTGTATGACTGTGCGTGGAAGGGTGGTGATGGTTACATGAATCTACACACGACAAAACTGCATGAAACTAAACATGTGTGCTTGTATGTACACATACACACACAGGGGCATGCACACGTGGGGAAACTTGAGTAAGCTCTGAAAGTGTGGCAAAGTCATGTTCATGCTCTAACAAGGCACATGGTTTTGCGAGACATGACCCCCCGGGGATGACAGGAGAAGGTGCGGGAACCTCCTGTTTCCCTTCTTCCCAGCTTTCTGTGATCATAAATATTTCAAAACAGGAAGTTACAAAAAGAAACTATGTCTCAAGGTATGACACATATTTAAGGATAAGCAATAAAGCAAATCATTTTAGAGACTACAGAGAGATGACCGAAAATAGAGCCAAGAAGTTCAAAATAAAAGTCTTGAAAAACTGTGAACCAAATTTGAGAGTTTGCATGGGAAACACAAGGGATTCAGAGAAATCGGTGCTGGAGAGGCTGGGGTCACCCGGAGAAGGACCACGATCCCTCCCCTGCAGGGAGTCCTGCCGTGAACAGAAACGGGGCTTTTCTGGAAAGGGCAGAGTTCAGAAAACTAAGATCATGGCATTTGGTCCCATCACCTCATGGGAAATAGATGGGAAACAATGGAAACAGTGGCTGACTTTATTTTTGTGGGCTCCAAAATCAATGCAGATGGTGACTGCCGCTATGAAGTTAAAAGACACCTGGCTCCTTGGAAGAAAAATTATGACGAACCTAGACAGCATATTAAAAAGCAGAGACATTACTTTGTCAACAAAGGTTCATCTAGTCAAAGCTATGATTTTTTTCCAGTAGTCACGTATGGATGTGAGAGTTGGACTATAAAGAAAGCTGAGTGCCAAAGAATTGATGCTTTTGAACTGTGGTGTTGGAAAAGACTCTTGAGAGTTCCTTGGACTGCAAGGAGATCCAACCAGTCTATCATAAAGGAAATCAGTCCTGAAAATTCATTGGAAGGACTGATGCTGAAGTTGAAACTCCAATACTTTGGTCACCTGATTCAAAGAACTGATTTATTTGAAAAGACCCTGATGCTGGGAAAGATTGAAGGCAGGAGGAGAAGGAGATGACAGAGGATGAGATGGTTGGATGGCATCACCGACTCAGTGGACATGAGTTTAAGTAAACTCTGGGAGTTGGCGATGGACAGGGAGGCCTGGCAGGCTGCGGTCCACGGGGTCACAAAGAATTGGACACGACTGAGCAACTGAACTGAACTGAACTGGAAAGGGCAAGTGTCCTGAACAGGTCTGCACCGACACTGCCTGCAATCGCAAGACCTATCAGAGGGCAACTGTGGTCCATGTGAGGGCCATGAGCTGCCTGTAGTCGGTTTAGCCTTTCCTGACTCAGTTTAACTGCCAGACGCCAGACTGCTTCTCCAGCTCCATGGGGAAAGAAGAGAAAAGGAATCTAGGCACTTTGAGCGCTGGCTGGTGGATGGGTCACAAGGCAGGTTTTCAAACGTGGTGAGGATGGTGGGAGAAGCAGCTGGGAAGCTCCACACCGTGAATACAGGAGACTTGCACTCCCGTGTCCTCATGATCCTGCACCGAGCAGGGGCAGGGTGCCCATGGTGCTCTCCCTGCTCCCAGGGGACGCTGGCCGCTGGCCCAGGGCAAAGAAAGAGGTCTGCCTGCCTAACCGTTAGGCACAGAAATGAAGCCAGGCTGCATGGCGTGAGCAAAACATCTCCAGGTGGTGGGGAGGCCTTTATTTCTGACTTCTGAATAAAATGAAAGGTTCCTCTTTCTTGGGCGTTTCCCCAAACAAAAACTTGTCCCAGTTCAGGGTGTAAGCTTGCAGAAGCAGCAACGAAAGGCTTCTTGACTTAACCCAGCAAGAATCACAGCCCGATTCCAACGGGAATCATCTTTCCTGGGAAACCATGGCTCCTGGGAACCGAGTGAATAACAACAACAACAACAACAACAACAAACAGCTCAAGGCCACCGACTGGGCTCCAGAAATAAACTAGGGCTGAGGACTCAAGGTCACTACCTGGTTGCCTCAAACAACCCACACATTTCAAAGGTAATTATCGGTTGACTCGGGACCTAATTTTGAGAATGAAGTTGAAGGGTATGAATGGATGACAATAATTATGCCTTTGCTATATTTGAAAATGGAACTATGGCCCTCTATCATTAAGTCTCGGGGATGATCAGCTAGAAATAGACATCATTTGTTCCACGAAGTGACCGAGTATCTGCTGAGTCTGGGAAGCAGGCTACAAAGACAAGGGAAACGAGGTTCTGGTCTTCAAGTGACTCAACCTCTAGGAGGAGAAACAGACATCTAAAATACATGACACACACAAAAGTATGTTCTTCCCTTGTCGTTCATTTTAATATTCCCTCCCTGGATGTTACAGTTGGCTTGGGAGACATTTTGGAATGAATGAGTGAAAGGGTAAATGGATGAAGGAATAAACAGTGGAAAATGCATCCAAAAGGAAAGGAGGACAGGTTAACAAAGGTCTCCAATGGGAGAATCATAATCAGAACTGATGTGAATAAAATGCAACAAAAACTGAAGGGAAGAAAGAGATTAACAGGTAGAAGACAAAATCTCTCTTAAAATTAGCATTCCTTTTAAATACTACTTCAAAATCATTTAAAAAAAAACGACAGATGAACAGTCTTCAAGTGTTGTGAGAGATTAAATAATTTCATGAATACTTTCAGAGAAAAAAAAAAACAAGGAAAGTGTCCCAGGACGCCTCCCAGTCTGGGTTCAAGGGTGAGACTGGAGCTGACCATCTCTCTCAGCCACCTCTGCATTCAACCTCAAGGTATAAGACACTTGCCATCCATGTGAAAACGCAGCTGACCCTTGAAAAACACAGGGGTAGGGACATCGACCCTCTGCACACTCAGAAATCCATGGAGGACCTACAGTCAGCCCTCTGCATCCAGGGTCCCTCCACATCTGCAGTTCAGCATCTGCAGATCGTGTAGCTGAAAAACATCCACGCGTGTGTAGACCTGCGGAGTTCAAACCCATGTTGTTCTCGGGTCCGCTGTGTTTCCTCTTTTCCTTCTTCAGGGGAACAAGCACCTAGGTTCTGTCCTCCAGGTATAAGAGAGTGGAGGTTGAGGTCTCCATGCTGAGCCTAAGTGCTCAGTCTGCAGCAAGACTTACAACCACCAACCTTCGCTCAGAGAAATTCCTGACCCAACACTGAGCAGATATCACTGTGCGCTGGCACCTTCTCCAACTTGGCTATTAATGAGACCAGCTCTGAACTACTTGCTCTGCAGAGAGCCAAAGATTGACTACAAAATGGAGGGGGCTATGCTCTGGATCAAGTGAGAAATAAAAGCACAGCCAAACATCTGGGCGTGAGGAAGGTGAATGTCCGTGTCAGGGGAACCTCTGACTGTTAACTTCTTAAAAGCTTCCTGTATTTGCCTAAACGAAAATGGCAACTCGCTTTTTCTATCTCACTCTGTGTGATTTTAAACCATATGAGCTGCTTGAGAAAAATTCACTCTGATAACTTAAATCTCTAGCAAGTTTTCATTCATCCGATATGTTAAAATATTTAGTGACTTGATGCAAACACACATTTAATTAGCATGATTTCCTCCTCCTGGCCTTTCTCTCACTTTTAATTTTGTTTTAAAGCAAACAATGAAATTTGTTCTAAATGAAGTCATCTTTCAATAACTTTTCAAAACACAATGACTGAAGAAACCATTCCCTCCTACATAAAACCCGCCAAGTACCCTGGCGGGTCGGAGGGCCTTTGTGTAGCAGAGAGAAAGGAGACAGAGGAAGATTCTTGGGCTGGTCAGGAAAAAAAAAATCTACCGACAAAATGATGGGGGCTAAAAATGTAGGCTAAGCTTCTTTAGGTAGATATACTCCTAAGTATTTTATTCTTTTTGTTGCAATGGTGAATGGTATTGTTTCCTTAATTTCGCTTTCTGTTTTCTCATTGTTAGTGTATAGGAATGCAAGAGATTTCTGTGTGTTAATTTTATATCCTGCAACTTTACT